CAATAGGTGGTGAGGCCATTATTCATCAGCTGGATAAGTTTGACCATTTGAAACACTATTGAAACTGCAGTTATGAAGTTCAAACAATTGAGCACCTTAGAGTTTACTAAACAAAAAATATTTTCCTGGGATATTTTCCTCAAACACCTTAATTTCTTTTCTGCAAAAGAAAGAAAAAAAAATTAACATCTTGGATGACAAGAGGGTGAGTAAATTATCAGGAATTTTTTATTCATTTTATTCTAAACTAATTCTTTAAGAACCAAAGAGCTTTATTTTCCCCCATCGTATCAGTTCAAGGCCACAGAAGCAAGAATAAGCCTCGACAATGAAAACAGTGAACCTGTGGGGAAGTAGATAAGGATGAGGCATTAGGACCAAAACGAGGGCACGGAAAATCTGAGAGGGTTAGAGGATTTGAGGAGAGATCTAAACAATGGCTAAATCATCTCCTCCTCCTTTGGCATCTCTTGCCTTTGGTTGAAGTTATTAATAGTGAATGGGCTGAGTCAGGCCCTCAGCGTGTTGTAGAGCCCAGCTCGTCTAAGGAAGAGGCTGCTGGAACCAGTGTTATTGTGCCACTCTGCTTGACCTTATTTCAGCTGAAAGACCTTTCCGGATAATGTGATTTATACTCATGGAGGACGACCTTGAAAACATTCCCCTAGATTCTTAAGGCTAGTTTTCTTTTAACTTTCTCTCTGGGAAAAGGAGATGCAGAGTTTTACAAATGGGCATTGTGAGGGATATTATGGTACTTGTGAGAAAATATTTACAGTTTAGCATATTAAAAAAGTGCTTAAGGAAACAAGATACTTTTTGCTTATACTTCATAATGTAAGTGCAAAAAGGTATTGTTTTCAAATTAAACAAATTAAAGTTTATGGCCAAATGTACAGTATTGACTTAATAATATTGCATGCTAACTAAGAAAGATTTAGAAGAAGAAAAAATGTAGCTGAAATAAGGTCTAAATACACACACTGAATGGGCCTGAATAAGACTTTTGAGTTACCAGTCTTGTAGGCTAGAGTATTTACTTCACAATTATCTGAAAAATATTCTGTTCTCTCATTCAAAAAAAAAAAAAAAAAAAAAAAGATTTACATTTTGTAAAGTCTGTGTTGGGTCAGCATAGCTGTATGACAAAAGTAGACATCTACCAGATTTGATTGGTGTAAACATTTATTTATTTTTATTATTCATAGTGTCTTTGGCACTGCTAAGGAAAAAGAGGCTAAACACACCACAGTGATCTAGCGGCCTCAGAGGGTTAAAATGTTTTATTAAACAACACACAACATTTTTAATAATGTACTCTTTGCTTTGGTACATCTAAAAAGTAAGCATATTTCTTAAAAGATGAACTAATCATATAACTGAAAGTGTATTTCTTGCTGGCAAATGGGTAAAACCTATTGTTTTGAAGAAAAATGGCAAAGTTTAAAGTAGTGATTTTTAATCTGGGGGCTGTGATGCTATTTCAGGTGTTGACAGTTTAAAACAGTCTTACATTGTTATATGTAAAATGTCTAGTTATATTTTGATGTATATACTAATTATGTACAGTGTTCAGCATAATTGAGTACAGCCCATTTAAAAAATAAATGTACCCATTTCTCAGTTAATGTAGGCGATGTGTTTTGGTGCATTTAAACAAAACATTTTTATATTGGTTTATTAAACCAATATATTTATTAAAATAATATTTTAGTCACCAAACATATTTAGAAATTGAAAGATTTCAATTTAAGCAAAATATTGCAAAACCAATTACACCTACAAAATTTCAACTAAATATTTCCATTTTTTCTTCTCTTTATTTTCCTCCTTTTTTTTTAAATTTGCATTTAATATTTTTCTATAACACATACATATGGGTGTACTAGTATTTGGAGCATTATCGTAAGTTGTTTCGTTAGATAAGCTCCAGATTTGGCTTCAGTACTGACTAATTTATTGTACATGCAAAATATATTAATGTATAGCTTCCTATTAAAAATATGAATTTAAGAGACATTTGTGACACGTGTACTTATACAGTAAATGCTAAGCACTGTATACACTAAGTGTTTTATAAAGTCTTACCCTGTTCAAACGAACATGAGTACTTTCAAACCTGCAGCTTTTCCTAAGTAGGTTGGCTGCTCATTCTAAAGCAAGCGCAGCATCAGGTAAAAAACCAAAACTCTTTGAAAACTCCTATCAGGGTGAAGATTTTCAAAATTGCCAGTGTCTATGTAGTCGTGTAGCTCACAAAACAGCCTTTTGAAGTCTTTTTTTTTTTTTTTTTTTTTTTTTTTGTGAAACTAGATTGAGCAATCTGCAATCTCCATTGTTTACAAGACGCTCATCTATGCAATGGCTAACATATCCAATTACATTCGCTACTAACTTTATACTGATACATGAACAATTATCCAAATGTATCAAGGAACAGAAGCTTCAGGAACAGATAACCTTTTTTGAGACTGATTGGCCAACATGACTTTATGGTTTGTAATATATCAGCACCTCTTGCTTTGGTATTCCCTTAGCAATACTGCATAGGGCCTTTTTGCATTTTCATATGGACAGATATTTTTCAAACTAAGCATGCTTGGATGAGAGTTTATTTGTTTTTATATTCATTCATTCATTCATTCGTACGTACATATGTATTTATTTATTTATTTTTTAATGAAAGAAAAATTTTGTTTGCAAAAATACCCGTGTTCGTGTGAACATGACCAGCACTGGCAGAACACAATGCCACTGGGATAAGATTTGGTAAATGAATGCTACTGCGGGTATTAAGATACTCACACTTTTGTTTGTAACATTATCAGCAAGACATGTAAAAATAAATAAAGGCAAATTAATTGGCATTTCTGTGACAACAAGGACGCGTTATTAAAGCCCTTTCATTTGGAAAGTGGCAAATGATAGAATCGCCGTGCATGGGTAACTTTTACTATGTGTTGGAAGTTTTTTTTTCTGATCAAGTTGGGGTTTCAAGACATCAACATATGATTAAAATCAACAAGGTCACGTTTGTATTTGCTGAAATAGAACACAAATGGTGCTTTAATACTGAGTGGAAAATCTGTTCTGTGCTGGTCTAAATCTGCTCTGCTTGTTCCCTGATTGCTTTGCTGTCGGCCTACCTGCTTATGGCATCTGCCTGGATTTTAGTTTTTCCGTTTCCTTAAAGTGTTCGAGTCTCTCTGGCTCTGGATTTTATGTTTATTCAGTAAAGAAAGTAAACAGCCTTGGGTCTGAGTAAGTGGCCAACCCCTCCCTCACAAATAATGGTTTCATTTAAAAATTGCAGTGGGCATCCAATTTTGGAGACCATTTTGCATAATGTAATTTACACTCACGGAGGAAGACCTTGAAAACATTCCCCTTGATCCTTAAGTCTAGTTTTCTTCTAACTGAAAAAAGGAGGTACAGGTTTATGAAAAAGGCACTATGGACAGTTTCATAGCCCTTGTAACAAATAGTTAGTTTAGCATATTAAAAAGAATACTTAAGGAACTATTATATGTATTTGTGTGTAGTGCATCAGTTTCAAAATGAAGGTAATGCAGTTAGGTGTCTGAATGCTTTCAGACACCTAACTGCAAATTCATCACATTTTATAATTTCAGCTTATCAGAGTGGACTAGCTTTTCTACTAGAGTTCTCTTTTGATCCACTTACTGTATGTAGACGTAATTTAAGTAATTTCCTAAATGTGTAGTTTTTGAAATATATATATATATATATATATATATATATATATATATATATATATATATATATATATATATATATATATATATATATATATATACATACATATATATATATATATATATACATACATACATATATATATATATATATATGAAATATAATTACATTTCCTTGCCAAATGTACACTACTGACAAGCATTTAAACTTAAATTATTGTTTAATATAATATCTAGTAACATGTATGTAATGTATTAAAATAAAACATGCTTTGTTGTGTGGGCTGGAGTAAAAAAAAAAAAAATAATAATGTTGGTAACCACTGGTTTAAAGATTTAAAATGACTATTACTTGGTATTTTAATAGTCTTTGTATACACTCACCAGCCACTTTATTAGGTACACCAAACTAAGACTGGATTGGACCCCATTTTGTCTTCAGAACTGCCTTAATACTTTGTGGCATAGATTCAACAACGTACTGGAAATATTCCTCAGAGATTAAATCCATATTTACATGATAGCATCACGCATTCACTGCAGATTTGTTGGGTGAACATCCATGATGCGAATCTCCTATTCCACCGCATCCCAAAGGTGCTATATTGGATTGAGATCTGGTGACTGTGTGAAGGTCATTTGAGTACAGTGAACTCCTTGTCATGTTCAAGAAACCAGTCTTGAGATGATTCATGCTTTAAGACATGGCGTGTTATCCTGCTGGATGTAGCCATCAGAAGATGAGTACACTGTGGTCATAAAGGGATGGACATCAACAACAATACTCAGGTAGGCTGTGATGTTGACACTCAATTGGTACTAATGGGCCCAAAGTGAACCAAGAAAATATCCCCCACACCATAACACCACCACCATCACCAGCCTGAACCATTGATACGAGGCAGGATGGATCCATGCTTTCATGTTGTTGACGCCAAATTCTGACCCTACAATCCGAATGTTGCAGCAGAAATCGAGACTTGAGACAGAACAGGCATCGCTTTTTCAATCTTCTATTGTATAATTTTGGTGAGGCCTGTGCTATTCATGAGGTCATTGGCTGATTAGAAATTTGCATTAACGAGCAGTTGGACAGGTGTATCTAATAAAGTGGCCAGTGAGTGAATGCGTTGTTTATACAAAGAAAGAGAAATGCAATTATTATTTTTTTGATTGTTCAATTCAAAATAAGTGAAACATTATCAAATGTTAAAATTGCATTACAAAAACCAGCCCATTTGTAAGAATGTTAACTGCACATCATCTGAAAAGGAAAAAGCTCACCTTCATTCTGATAATGGAGGTGACCCAGTCCTGCTGAGAATCATTCCCTTTACAGCAGAAATACCTGTTTCAGAGACGATGCAAAGGTGAACACTGAAGCACTCAAGTGAACTATTTGAAATGCAGTCCTTCAGTTCTGTACTTCATGTATTAAGCTGTACCAAAAAGCCTTTATAAGTTTCAGACTGAAATATTAAAAAGGCACATATTACCCAGTCCCAGCAAAATGTTTTTCCTAAAAACAGTACTGAAGCGTGAGATTGACTATGTAATTAGGAACAGAGTTAATTGCACTTACCACTGCTGCTTTTCAGTATAAACAGTAAATCCCCAACTGTTGAAAATTTGTCAGAAAAACAACAACAAAAAAAGAATTCCATTAGTTTCACAGCATTTCATACAGGTTCTCCACATCAATTTACAGCTATATTCAGCTTTTCCTGATGGTGCCACAAGCTGAACCTCTAAAGTGCTAAGATACCATTAAATTCAGCTTAATTTACACAGACAGCTGACTGGAATAACAAAAACAAATGGTCTGTTTTGAGATTTTCTGCTTACCTACTTCTCTTGTTTTTGTAACACATGGTCTAAATAGTTCAGTATCTTTTCTGACTTCACACATCACATTTTAGCAATTACATAGTTTAGATACTGTTTTTTTTTTTTTTTTTTTAACTTGCAACCTTGACTTTTTTGGTGTTTCCCAGCACATTTAGTGTTTTTAACATCATAAGATGTTAATGTTAGGCTGGATATGGGTCCAAAGCATCTAAGGACTATGTTATTTTGAAGTCCAATAAAGTCGTGAAATGATGGTAATATTTGGTTGATTTTAGGTTGTGTTGGAAAGTAACCAAAATCCAACATTGAGCCAATATCTTAAACCAGCATCATATTAACATCAAATGCTGACATTTATTTGTCAGGTATGGCAACCAAAATCCAACGTCTGAGAGACGTCATAGTAGTAACGTCCACACAACGTCAAGCTGTAACATTATTAGACGTTAATAGTTTTTTATTATTAGGTTGTGTTGGAATGTGACCAAAATCCAATGTCTGTCCGACATTGGACATCAACTTTAACTTGACGTTGGGTTTTAACATCAATCCAATTTTCATTTTCTAACAAACTGCAACATGCCACAACTGCGTTGAGGTACAACATCAATATGACGTCATGCTGACGTCCTGTGCCTGCTGGGTTGTTTTTGATCATAAAGGTAATCATCTCAATGTTTATTTTGCACAAATAGTCCATAAATTTATCACAATTTTCTCACAGTTTTGATCTAATATCCAATGAGGGTGTACCGTTTTAACAAGGAAACAATTGTCAGTGAAAAGCATGTTTGAGATCAAATATGAAATAAAAGATTTGTCACAACTTAACTTCATAGCCATGTATTATTAAATTATTTTAGCTGTATTGTGGCCTTTGGTTAATTAATTCTCTCATTTTAGACAAGTCATGCCCATTTTGTATTCATTTGTGTTCCTGGTTTTAATTCTGCTAATCTTGGTCACAACAAATTAATTTGTGGCTATGTATTAACAACTAGGCTTAATTAAATTGTAGTCCTTTTGAATTAATTCACGCTATTGTTTTAATTCACCCAAATTGTGGCCACAAATAATTTCCTACAAATGAAGAATTGCTGTCATTTTCATTAAGTGAAACAATGCCAATAAACTTCAAAAATACATCTGTTTATTAAGAGGTTGAAATTAATTGCTGACTGGGTTTTAATATACTTTAAAGCAATGTTTGTCAACCACGTTTCAGGAGGACCACCAGCTCTGCACATTTTCAATGTCTCCTTAACCAAACACACCTGATTCAGATCATCAGCTCATTAGCAGAGACTGAAAAACCTGTAATAAATATAACATACAAAGTAGACATCTAAAACATGCAGTGTTGGTGGGCCTCCAGGAACATGGTTGAGAAACAATACTTTAAATGGCTCCTATTTTACCCATTTCACAAGATGTATGATAAGTCTTTGGTGTCTCTAGAATGTGTCTGTAAAGTTTCAGCTAAAAATGCCAATCAGATCATTTATTATACCCTGGTGAATAAGTACATTCTGTAGTAACATTACATTGTAGCAGTTTTGTTGCCTGTGGCTTTAAATGTTAATGAGCTGGTTCTCCCCGCCCACTGTTCTCACTGTGCCACATAAACAGCACTTCAATACCACTCCAAAATGACTGTTTACACACTATACATACACACATTTCTGTTAAAACAGCTTCCAAAAGCTGATTTTGCATCATAGGTGCCCTTTAAAACCCCTTAAAACATAATTATACAAATAAATCTCTGCCTCTTTTGTTGACTGATAATTATATGTTAGCCTATATTTAATCAACAACACAACTCAGAGGCAAACAATGTAATTCTGTTTGCATAAAGATAGCTCGCTCACTCCTAAAATACACCTCTCTACCACTTCAGGTAAGTAGTCATTTAACAAGGAAACTACTCAGTTTGTTAAAATATTTTTGAAAACTAAAGTATTGATTATAGGGGTGACATGGTGGCTCAGTGGTTAACACTGTCGCTTCACAGCAAGAAAGTCACTGGTCCAAGCCTCGGTTGGGCCAGTTGACATTTCTGTGTGGAGTTTGCATGTTTTCCCCATGTTGGCTTAGATTTCCTCCAGATGCTCTGGTTTCCCCCAAAGTCCAAAGACGTGGTATAGGTAAATTGATTAAACTAAATTGGCTGTATTGTGTGTAATTGAGTGTGTATGGATGTTTCCCAGTACTGAGTTGCAGCTGGAAGGACAACCGCTGTGGCGAACCCTGATAAATAAATGGACTAAGCCAAAGGAAAATTAATGAATGAAATAAGTATTGATTATAGTATTGTATATGATTATGTTGAATGTATGTATTTCGCATCACCCTGTTTTGTGTGTGAGCATCAGGCACTGGCATGAGCTGCTGCATGTCATTAATATTCACGACCATTCCAAATACAGTCAAAACCAACTATATCCTATTAGGGCCAATTCCTATGGTTAAAAATGGACCTTTACACGTCCGTTTCAGAATTTTGCACTTACCTAATGCTGAGTTCAGACTGCATGTTAACAGCCCTGACAGGTCTCACCGAAAAATCGCAGACAAATTGGTGCTCGTTCACATAAGTAATAGTCACACAGTGTGAACTATAAAAGACGCAATGTAAGATAATCGCTGATGAATCACTGACACCCGTGAGATATTTGGCATGCTAAATATCTGGACCTGAAAGTGATTCAAATCAGGCTGTGTGAAATGTGTTCTGATTGAAAAAAAACACAGGCGATCACCTACAGCCAATGAGTGAGCAGCATCCACTGGTGTGGGTATCTACAGGCCAGCGGGAGGTTGTGGGAGAAGTTAAAAGGACATATTTTCAGTCTATTGGGACCCAATAAAGAGAGTAAAAAACTAGGGCAAATTTGGCAGGAGCACCTGTGTCTGTACCACAACCGGGTCGACAAAGGAAAAAGGTTTAAGAGAAACTGCTAATTCCCTTCAAAGCCAGGTGAGCAAAATAAGTACATGTTCTACCCCACTAAAAGCTTCTTTCTCATTGTGTAGGTAATAACAAAATATAAAATAGATGATCTTGCGTTGTTTCCATGTCACTTCTTGCATATGTTTGGTGGTGAGATGTAGTTTGTGGACCAAGACAAAGTTGTTGGCGATTCTGCCTATTTTAAAGTCATGCAGTGTGAAAACCTCTGTCATTGATCCATCTTGCTGTGTAAACACAGCAGCAACAAATGCTCGCCCAGATAGTCATGCAGTGTGAGAACATCTGTGACACAACTACTTTGAAAATCATGCAGTCTGAATTCAGCATAAGCCCCATACTTATTTTTATTTATTTATTTATTTATTTATTTATTTATTTATTTATTTATATATCAGGATATAGTTTAACATATTATTTCAATGCATTCTATGGCACCTTTAAAATAAGGTGGAGAATATTGCCAGTAGTCTAGGCAAAGGTGAACCCTGGAAAAGTCTATAGAATGTGCCTACAGCTGAACAAACACCCTCACTGCACAAAAGCAAAAGAGTTCGCATGTCAATAGCTCAATGTAAGTCTGAAAGAATAACATCTGCAAACAGACTGAAAGTCATTTGGGTTCAAATGCTATTGTAAGAATCATGTGGTGGATACATTCACTGGAAGAATTATGAATAAATGATCATTAGTGAAACCGTCTTCAGCGCAGGAATAAATTACACGACTGCCATAAATGACGAAAACACAGCATTATTGAAATGAAACAAATCCACAGTTAACCATTTTCCCAGCAGGAGAGAGAAAAACACAGTACAGTGAATTTGCTAAATTACGTTTAATGAATTTTGTAATTGCGAGATATAAATCTGCTTTCAGATTGACTGTGATAGTCTCGTTTCTGATGGGGGGCATTTGGCACTAAAACAAGCAGCTCTGCTTGTTGGCACTAGGGAGATAAAGGCTGAACTAGGAACTCATTTGAACGTCAACCTAGAGTTAATGTCAGGACATTTATGAATCGATCTTAATTACACATTTAGGATTATTAATATATCTTGCAATGTGGCCATGCTAATTTTGAATAATTTGTTTCATACCACTGTTTGCAGGCTCTGCGTGTTCTGGATGAAAAATACGGTTTATAATGAGGACATGGAGAAATTCTTACAAAAAGCATCAATTTGTTAAGGAGCTTGAGGAAGATGCAATTAGTTGACACTTCTGTGAAATGTAAAAGATAAATAACATCTTTTAAATGCTTTTAATGGCTTGGAGCTGGATAAATACTTGAGACCGTTTACCTGCTGGTTGGTTTCAGCTTCCTTCGAAGCCCAAAGTAGCATTTTACAGCCTTTAATGGAGCTTCTCTTTCTGGCTTGGTGCTCTGAGGAAACAACAGCAAATGTTTCAAAATCATACATAATGTAGTGCATGTTAACGCAGGCAATAATGCTAAAAGTCAATTAATGTATATAAACATATATGTATAAATTCAAAACAACACTGATGTGTTTTGTTAGAACTGTAACAATACAGATTAATTCTTAAATGGGCATCATTTTGTTTTTTTGAAAATAATAACTGCAGTATATATGTCATCACTACTCTAGGCCTATCCTTCCTATGAGCCTAGTGTGATTGGGCTATAATGGCTAACAGAACACGTTAAAAATGAATCACCCATTACCATCTAAATTTTAATTCTGAAGATTCTACAGCATTTGATTTATTTGATTTACGTTTAAACTACCTGACAAAAGTCTTGTCACCTATACAAATTTTAGAAACAACAAATAATAACTTGACTTCTAGTTGATCATTATCAGTATCAGAAGTGACTTATTTAAAAGGCAAAGGCCTCTAGATTACGCTTATTTTACCTAAATAAAATTTGATCATGACTTGATTTTCAATTATTTAATTAGGACAGTAAGTTCTGACTTTGCTTAGATAAAAGGCTTGTCACTTAACAGAAATGATGTACAGTACAGAATATAAAGTCATGGTGCAGTGGAAAAATAATGAATATTGTATATGACTCCCATGAGCTTGGAGGACAGCATCCATACATCTCTGCAAGAAAGAAAGCGCTCTTGCAGGACTCCCAGAGTTCATCGAGATTTTTTGGATTCACCTTTAATGCCTCCTGCTGGGCTGGCCAATCCTGGAGGACCTTGACCTTCTTTGCTTTCAGGCACTTTGATGTGGAGGCTGAAGTATAAGAAGCCTGATGAAGAATTTGTCCTCTCCTGTGGTTTGTAATGTAATGGGCAACACAAATGTCTTGATACGTCAGGCTGTTGATGTTTTCATCCACTCTGCAGATCTCTCGCATGCCCCCATACTGAATGTTGTCCCAAACCATGATTTTTTTCTTAACCAAACTTGACTGATTTCTATGAGAATTTTGGGTCCATGCAGGTTCCACTATGTCTTCTGCAATATTTGGGATGTTTGGGATGCAGTCCAACAGATGATACATCAGAAAAATCGACCTTCTGCCACTTTTCCAAATGATCAACTAGAAGTCAAGTTATTATTTGTTGCTCTTACAACTTGGTTCGTTCGTTCGTCCGTCCGTCCGTTCGTTCATTTATTAATTCATTCATACATTCATTTATTCATTCATTTATTTATTTATATATTCTTCTTATTTGAATAGTATCTACACTATACCTGTAGGTCTCAAACTCATTCCTTGGAGGGCCGAAGCTCAGCAGTTTTGATCCAACCCTATCAAACACAGCTGATTCAAATAATCGAGGTGGTTAAAAGAGTCATGAACACCTTTATTAGTTGGATCAGCTGTGTTTGATCAGGGTTGGAGCAAAACTCTTCAGAGTTGCGGCCCTCCAGGAATCAAGTTTAAGACTTCTGATACACAAATCAAACTTGTCCAGGCTTCAAGTACAATAATAATGTTGGAGGTCAGGTCAAATTAGGGCAATATGGTTAAAAAAAAAAACACACACACACATATATATATATAGTAATTTTTTTTATATAATTTATTAATGATAATTATTTTTTCCGAAAAATAGCCCACTAACTGAATGATTCACATCACAGTGTTTGTTATAATGAAACCACATAACAGTTTAATCTGACTTAAGTAAATCACAAAGACATTTGTGGTCTTCACTAAATTTAAGTGCTTCTCTTTAGAGCAGGGGTCTGTTCTTTGTACCTCACTTAAACGATCTAAGATCATTTAACAGATCCTGGACCTTTTAATCTTGATAACTGATCTCTGGCTAATTTGGTTCTTCAAACAAGATTATGAATTAGATTAAAACCTCTGGATGAACTGATCTGAGATGTGTGTTGTAAAGGACAGATCTATTGATCCTTAAAATCAGAATCAGCAATGCAATGATTGGCTGATGGCACAACACCATAATGACATCATCTGAATAATACTCAATTATCCATGTGAGCAAAATTACAAAAAAATCATAGTAAACTGTGTGTTAAATATCATATGCAATAACTTTCCATATTTGATGTGGGCTCCGTGCATTACACTCATGTTTCAAGAGTGTTTAGCAATTTATTTAGTTTTATATTTAGAGCGAATTTTCTTTATTACAGTAGCCTATGTAAATTTCTTACTGGGCATAAGGCATAACTAGCTGTTTAAATGAATTTTTCATCAAAGAAGCATTTGAATATTGGTAAAGGTGTCTACAACTTTTGCGAAGCATCAAGTATCTAGCATATTAACTGTCAAAACATGTGCCTGCAATAATTATTATTTCTATAAAAAAGTTAAATATTGCGCATGTCTATTATCAAACACACATTGTAATAAATCTTGTACCTTAAAATAGTACACATTCGTATCCTAAAATTATATAGTAATAAACGTCCTCTTTGAACCCCTAGAGGAGAACCATGCCATGACAGTCTTTGTGCTTTAATTTCGAAGTGCAGATTGCGTAAGTTTTATTTATATACATTTTTAAAAATGTTAACTATTACTGTAAGAAGATATCAGCATTCGGTAAATACTTTTAGTATTACCTTTGCTTGAAATGACCTAATCTAATCCTGTTTATATAAAAAAAGCCCACTTCAGAGCAGGTTTGAGCTACCAGAACTGTTACTATGACAACAACTCTCAGATGAGTTTTGAGGAGATGTTAATAGATCAAATATGGTTGCGACCGGAAGTTAATGAAAATGATGTATATAATTGATTAAATTTCCAATTAATTGTATTTTATTAATGTCTAACCCAACCTCCACCCTAAACCCAATTATCACAGTAACATATAAACAGTAGTTGTACCAAGTATAGTTCATGTTATCTGTTAAATTACCCAATAAATTGTATTTTTTAACTGTCACAGTACAGTAAAAATATTGTCATAAAAATGCTCCTATAATGATGTGCAAATTGCACGTCTGGCTGGCCATGTATCTACCATTTTGAAGAACGAAACAATCCTGGATCATGTTAAATCATCAATAACCAAACCAGCCTAACTGAGTAATCCACACCCCTGCTCACATGATCAATTCAACACACATTCAGATGAAAACAAATAGTTTAGATGGGGTTTCACAGACCGTTTGGTTCTTAGGACCAAAAGTGTTTTGTTCCAATTAGATGAAGAAACATTATATTGACATGTATTAACACATTTTCTAATTTTAAATAAGAACTTGTGTTTATTTTTTGATATTGTTATTTTATCTCCCTGCCTTAGATGAAGCTAATAAGGAACACTGGAGTTCTACATGGTACAAGTCATCCCTGAATTACTAACAGCTTGTTTCAAGCATTCAGATTTGGTTCTTTCTTTTAGAGACAATAACTCTATTTATTATAGCGCTTTGATCTACTGCAGACTACTTAAATTCACAAACAGAACATTACACAGAACATTAATGGTAAAATACAAAGAAAAAGCAAAATGGGGTATTTTAAAAACCTTTCCATGCCATCACTTGGTACTAAAACTGCTCACATACAGTATACAGCAAAATAATGTGTGAAAAAAATAATCTGCTTTATTTCCCCCAGCTCATTCACTTGAATCAAAAGAGGGGGGAAAACTGCAATTTCCTGTTTACAGCTGTTGGGAGCCCAAGGGCATTGTGTAAACTAGCATGTGCTGACAACATTGTGTTGTTGCCTGGGAGGGATGTACTTCGTACGTACTATAATGCACTGCAAAACTCAAACGAAATCATCAACGACGGCAAAAAATGAGATCGAACCCAAAATCCTAACTTTCCACAAAGTGAGAAATGGAAAACAAAGGCATCAGAATATCAATTAAATTTCTGCTTCACAGCCAATTCCCACCTTCTTCACTTGATAATTAGCTGAATATTCTGCAGCAGCCAGAAATTACACTAATTAAGGAAAGAACAGCCTTCATTCATTGTGTCATTGCCTCTCCGCCTTCCCTCCATCTCGCGCGCACACACCCACACACACACCCACCCACACACCCACACACACACACACACACACACACACACACACACACACACACACACACACACACACACACACACACACACACACACACACACACACACACACACACACACACACACACACACACACACACACACACACACACACACACACACACACACACACACACACACACACGTCTTCACACTCTGCTCAAATATCAGTTATTAACACAACCTGCACTCTTTAGAAGACTGTGTCTTAGCTCACGGAGCGTGTGCCCCTGAGGAAAAGCTGATCGGCGTGCGCACCGACTGAATAAAGCAAGTATGAGCAGATATTACAGAGAGAGAAACCTAACAGACTGCAGTCGCTTAAATCACTGTACTCATTTCAGGGGGTATGAGAAGTCCCACATTACTTTAATTCAAAATGAAAATAGCCATTATGGCTTTATTTGTTTCCTTTTCCTTCCATGCTTATTACAAGCGGGCCCCTGCGATTGGCCCAAAGCAGGTAATTTTACATCCGCTGTGTTTTTTAATAACTATTTCATCTGTAAACGCACGCTAAGAAAACAAACAGAGCTAATATGAAACGCCACGCTGCAAAATCTAAATTGTTAAACTGGCGAGTGCTGCAGGGCCACTGGCGAACAGTTATATCATGCAAAGGCTGAGCTTGGTGAACAGCAGGGTTGGGGAGGGGTAAATATTACCATGGGTAGAGGCACTTAAAAGACCAGCAAATCATTTTGATTTGACTTGAAAAAAAGTCGACTTGGAATTAAAAGTGAAGATGTAGGAGACGTACTTTTATGTCTTTGTACAGCAGCAGTTTTTTGTCTTGTAGTACCAAGTAGCGGTCCTGAAACTTATTCCCCAATAGCAGTTTGGAAGAACCGTCTTTGAATTTGAGATGCTCTCCTTTAATGAAATCCTTCAGTTTATCTGTCACAAGCACAGAAGAACACAACAAAACACATTGAGTCATAGCATGAACTATTTATGAGAGACGCAACATAAAAACTACACATATGCTGTAGCTTTGCACCAGTGTGGCCCCCTGCCGCTTCAGACTGCAGCGAGATATCATACATTTTTAAAAATGTCTAAAGTTGTATAGAAAAGCACCTGAAGTGCCGCAAAACACATTTACTGCTTAACACATTTGAGAGTCTAGCACATACACATCCTGCCACATGAATACACTTTTGCCTCCCATCACCGCTTAATATATATTAATATCTTTAGTGAGGCATGCAGAGAAGCTATTACTCAGCGCAGGTACAAAAATGATGATTTCTGGCTGCCATTACTGATGATTTCAGTGGGACGGGAAAGAGGGTGTAAATAGAAAAGAAAACTTTAGCTTTTCTGCAAGTGCTCCATCCATCATTGAGAATGAAAAATGGATCAGGAAATTAGTACTGAGACTGGAAAAAGTCAAGAAATTAGCCAATAGTCAGAAAACTTTATGACTTTATGACCGTCTCAGTAACACTTTATAATAACTAAACACTATAAACTATTTATTAAGCATTGGCCAATAGTTAGTTTATCGTTTCATAAGCATTAACTTTTTATGACATTGCTAAAGTTTTTTTTTTCTTTTGATATGGTTGTACAGTTTAACTTTTGTATCTTGCAATAAACATTCATGTTCTTATTCACTGTTATTCATTCCCTTTTTCTCATAATGTAACTGAGCACTTAACATTTATAAAGGATTTCAATCATTTGTTTTCTTAGTCCCTTTAATCAGGGGTCAACATAGCGGAATGAACCACCAACTTATCCAGTATATGTTTACACAGCGGTTGCCCTTCCAGCCTCAACCTAACACTGGGAAACACACTCTTGCATTCACACACATACTGTACACTTTTCACCTGTACATATACCACATATACCACACGTGTTTAGACTGGGGGAAACCGGAGCACGCAAAGGAAATCAACACCAACACGGGGAGAACATACAAATTATACACAGAAATGCCAACTGACTCAGCAAGGACTCGAACCAGCGACCTTCTTGCTGTGAGGGATTGTGCTACCCACTGCACCACCTTGACACCCCCATAAAGAATTTACAAAGTGTAAATAGCCCTCACTTGATTTGCTCAAAAAATCAGTTATTTAACGGTTAATAAATGCTTAGTAAGTCATTTAATTAATGACTGTCAAGATAAATTTGTGTTTTAGCATTTGTTAATCTACAGAGTAACTATTACTATATGCCTGACAAATAAGATATATAAATAATTAAATAATTAGTTATTCATGTTCGTATCCATTGTAAATTATCTTAAAAGCCACCTGTAACTTTTAAACAAATGGTTTGTAAATAATGCCCTACTTCATTTAGTAATGGGAAATTGAGCATTACTAAAGTATGAAAATACAATTTTTAAACACATTATGCAATTGTAAGTCAAGACCACAGCATTTGTATCTGCAGGTATAAACTGCTTACTAATGTTTAATATTGTAGAGTTAATGATGAACTAACTATTGGTTAATGCTTAATAAATGGCTCATAGTGTGTATTTATGGTGTTAGCATAGGTAAATAATCCCAAGCATTTTTAGAAATGAATGTTCATTTCTATGAATGTTCAAATTGTTTGATTTTGTTTGTATTTTGTATTCCTCACCAGAAAGGGGATTTTTTTTTATCTTTTAGTAGTTATAGTTAACATCAAAACAAGTACCATTTTATTAAAGCATTCAAATTCAAATGATTAAACACACAATATAGGTCCTTCTTGTGTTCATTCAGTGAATTATAAATTAACTGACTACAGAGTTCTTGAATACAGCAAGTGGTACAAGTAATAATGGCTAATAAAATAAAAAGCTTTGAATGCAACTCTGAATAAACAGTGACTGCATTTTGAACATCAGTAATTAAATTGTTTGCCTTAGTCTTAATAAGACAATAATATGATTGAGGTGCATTTTGAACGTTTATTTCATGATCCTGTTTTACATCTTAGTTAATCCGATTAACTTCATTATGTCACCACGCTGTCCACGCTTCCTCCCAATTTTTACGCAAATTCAGGTGTTTTATTTTTAATTTGTCCACTTTAACTGCAGTTTGGCACTTTCACTTTCATTCAGGAACATTTCATGCATGCTTCTGTGACAAACGAGATATTGGATGCGAGTATGAATCAAGGACTAGTGAAAGAGTGTTGTTTTACTGGAATGTGATACTGCACGCCGAATGGGAAAAAACCCTGTCGCAAAATGTGCCGAAAAGTCCTACATGAGAATTTGACTGCAGTGTTTACATGTCTGTACTGCACTTCAATGATGCAAATAAAATCAGCACACTCCATGTCATTTTCCGATTTCTTAATTAGAGTATTGTCTTAATCATATTAAAATCAGCTTTTTGGTGTCCATGTAAACATACTCGCTGACTGCAAATGTACTGTAATTTAAGCGACATGTCTGTTAATCTGTGTATCACAACTCTGATTTTTGCTTGGGGTGTGATAGGATATTTATTGTCTGTACCTGAGTTGGAATCTGTCATTTTACACCCAGAATATTTTTTAATGAGCAGGAAGGCCGAGCTGGGATCCTCCAGAGATCTCCACTCCAAAACTTGCTCCAGAACCTTCTCTTTGTAGTGTAAGGGCCGCTCTGAGCACACAGACAAATGACATGTAGGATAAGTGAAAGCAAATCAGCATCTGACTTGATAAAACATATGCAACGCAGATATGTGAAGAAACGCTTCTCGCTAGATTTTCACACATCACTTTGCTCCAAAATGTGTCAGGACGAAAATCCCAAAAAAGTGCAAATAAAGGACTTCACATTTGCGTATACGTGTAGATTATGAGTCTGGCTGAAACACTCAGAGAATCTTAAATAAAAAAGATCTATTGTGGTTAATACATATAGCTTAAAAAACAACAAACAAAAAACATTCCCTCTCCTCATCACCCCACCCCCCTTAAAAAAACAGTTTGTGCTTAGGTTTTGTCCTCCACACAAGCATAATTATGTAGTGCAAATTTGTAATTATCGCCAGCCAATCTGACTATGATTAGAAAACACACTCAAGTGCAAAATAGATCCATTATCAAGTTGTAATTTGTAAAAAAGGAAAAACACAATGCTCGCTATTGGCAAAAATTACTCTTACACCACCTGTCTCCCCCTCCCTCCAATGCCATCGCAATCTGTTAATAGTTTCTCATAACTGCCATCAAATAATAATAGTACTATTCATGCGCATTCACTTAGTGACTGAAGCATTTAAATGTGTGCGTAAGCCTTAGAGGAACATCATTAAATGCTCTAATAATCAGCTTAAACTTTAAAAAAAGACTTTATGAAGTCATTCATTTAAACAGTACATTTAAGCATCGTTTTAAACCTCAACAGTGTGAGTCCTACCCATTTCTCCATTTTCAATGACCTCAAACGTGGTCCAGAGATCTTGAGCTTTGACCTCCATGCCCTTCATCTCCAGAGTGCTGACGGCAAGTTCATCTGACCTCATATTCGGAGAGATCTAAAAGAAACGCACATCAGCATCATTCAGTGTTTTGAAAGTTCAAGACTTCATTTCCTTGTGCAAAATGATTTATCTACTTTTGCTGGAGGAAAAAAATGAGAGGAAGAAGATATCAAAAGCGTCAAGAGAGAGGAAAAAAATGCTCTGAAACAACCTCTATTAACTGAGGTTTACCTTGACTACTGATAAAACACAATTACTCTCACAATTAAATCAAACATGCCTTTGATTAACTGCAGTTTGATTTAGTTTGTGGCAGAATACCCTCTAGGTTTGCACACACACACACACACACACACACACACACACACACACACACACACACACACACACACACACACACACACACACACAGAGAGAGATGAGAGCGAGGGAAACAAACCTTGATTAAACAGCACTTCTCTGGCTCCTTTTTCTCCAGGTAGGCTTCAAATATCAGGTCACCAGCAGGAGAGAACTGCAAACACAGACGGACACAGTGACAAAACACACACCTTTGATTTAAATACACACTTGATTCATAATAATGTATTGCTAGAAAGAAATAATACACTTTATTTTACATTGTATTTAAGGACCAAGTCACACCACACTGACAGATATGGACAATTACCAGATTGCATTACATCATCTCTCAGACATTGATAGCCTCACAACCTAACAAGAAGATTCAGATAGACAAAAACAAGCTCTGACCAATGCCGACAGATTCTGACAAAACCCATAAAAGCTTCTTTCTTTAACACAAAATTATTTTTAGTTCAAGTTAAATCACAGTGAATCAGCTAATGTTAACAAGCACAACTTTGGATTTTAATAGTGCATTAGTTAAGGTTGAAATATGATTAATAAATGCTCTACAAGATTATTTATACTTTATCAATTTTAGTAAATACACCCGCCAGCCACTTAGGTACAACTGCTTGTTAACGCAAATTTCTTACCAGCCATGTGGACATGGTCAAGACGATCTGCTGCAGTTCAAACAAATCATCAGAATACGAAAGAAAAGATATTTTAGTGACTTTGAATGTGGCATGGTTGTAGGTGCCAGATCTAAATGGTTGATCTGAATTTTTCAGGAAACTGCTGATCTACCGGGTTTTTTTCACACACAGCAATCACAATCACAAACACAAAAATGGCCAGACTGGTTTAAGCTGACAGAAAGGCAACAGTGACTCAAATAACCACTCATTACAACCGAGGTCTGCAGGTGAGCATCTCTGAACGTACAACATGAGCTACAGCAGCAGAAGACCACTCTAGGGACCACTCATGTCAGCTAAGAACAAGAAACTGAGGCTACAAATTTCACAGGCTCACCAAAATTGGGCAATAGAGGATTGGAAAAAAAATTGCCTGGTCTGATTAGTCTTGATTTCTGCTGCAACATTCAGATGATGGGGTCAGAATTGGTCCTCAACAACTTGGAAGCATGGATCCATTCTGCCTTGTATCAATGATTCAGGCTGCTGGTGGCGGTGTAATTGTGTGGGGGATATTCTCCTTGTACATTTTGGGCCTATTAGTACCAGTTGAGCATCATGTCAATGCAACAGAATACCATATAGTTGCTGACCATGTCCACCATTTTATGACCACAGTGTACCCATATTCTGATGGCTACTTCCAACAGGATAATGCATCATCTCGGAAAGAGTGAGCAGTTTTAAATACCTAGGGTTCCACATCAGTGAGGACCTCACCTGGACACTGAACACCACCCAGCTGGTGAAGAAAGCACAACTGCGGCTTTATTTCTTAAGGAAGCTGAGGAAACTTGGTCTGTCATCTAAGATTCTCAGCAATTTTTACAGCTGTGCGATTGAGAGCATCCTGACCACCTGTATTACTGTATGGTATGGCAACGCTACTGTAAAGGACCGCAAATGTCTGCAGAGAGTGGTGAGGACTGCAGAGAAGATCATCAGGTCCCCACTGCCTTCTCTGCAGACTATCTACCATCGCAGAGTCCACAAGAGAATTGCCTCCATCCTGAAAGACCCAACGCACCCACAACACAGATTATTCACACTCCTACCCTCAGGGTGGAGGTATAGGAGTGTTAGATGCAGGACTGCCAGACTCAAGAACTCTTTTTTCCTATTAGCTAGAAACAGTCTCATTTTCTGCTCAGTACAACACTACATTCTCCATCCCAGTTTGCAGTATTAATGCATACAATTGCACTCAATCTGCTCCGACCATACATACTGTTGTTTGCACATAAGCCAATTGCAGTAGGCACTTTATGCATAATAAGCACAATTTAAGAACCACTATACATTGTTTACATCTATTTCATTACTCCACAATCAGTATTATATATCGTTTACTTTCATAGATATTTATATATTTACATTTTGTAATTGTACTTCAGTCACTTCTGTGTAAATATGTGTATTTATGTGTATGCCATGTATGATGTGTATGTTGTGTGTATGACTTCACTGTGGACGCAAAGTAAGAATTTCATTATACAGGGAAACGTGTTTCCTTACTGTGCACATGAAACAATTGAATTGCATTGAATTAAATTAAAGCACAAATAATTTTAGATTGGTTTCTTGAACATGAAAGTGAGTTCACTGTTCTCAAATGGCGCCCACAGTCACCAGAACTCAATCGAATAGAGCACCTTTAGGATGTGATGAGAGATTCGCATCATGGATGTGCAGCCGACAAATCTGCACCAACTGCATGATGCTATCATGTCATTATGGACCAAAATCTCTGAGGAATATTTCCAGTACCTTGTTGAATCTATGCCATGAAAGAGTAAGGCAGTTCTGGAACTTGGTACACTTCTGTCCAACTTGGTACTTCTAAGGTGTACCTAATAAAGTGACCGGTGAGTGTACATTAACTTACATTAACTAATAAAGCATTATTCTAAATCGTTTCCTGTTTTTCTGTCTGTCAGTGTGTTGTGGTGCAGTGTAAATTGCCCATTACCGTGTAACTGTACATTTAAGCAGAAATAAATATTAAATATGTAAATCTGGCTTGCATTACATTCAGGGTTTAGATATAATTCTGTGAAAAATCATACACATTCATCATAAATGAAAACAGCAACAGTACATCTTAAGCACTTTATGTTTTTACACATTTAAAAGCCCCAAAGAATAAGACCATGTTTATCTGAAAAAAAAAACATGACCTTTTTTTTTTGCTTTGTTTTTAGGAATATATCATGTTAATTTGAATAGGTGTGTGCAAATGACTTCCATGTACTTTTACAAAGTTTAAAAATATGTATCTGGTGCTAGAAATGTTATAAACATTCATACACTTTTAAAATTGTATGTCATTAAGCATATGAAATGATTTTTTTAAACTGCTGTAAACCAGAAAGCAGCATTATGTCTGGTATTTTGTTAAAAAAAATCTAAAGGATTTGTAACATTAGTTATGTTTAGTTCATGTTAACTCACAGTGCTAATATTAGCTAATGCATAAGCACAACTTTGGATGTCAAGTGCATTAGTAACTGTTATTGTTGAAAAATCATTAATAAATGCTTTATTCATACTTTGTTCATTTGATCAACTAACAATATTTTTCGATTAATCAGTGAATCAGTTAAAAAAAATAAAAATAAAATAAAAAAACATTTATTTACAACCTCTTTATTCTAAAACAAAACTAAATCCTTTAGAAAAAGTGCATAAACGTTGTCCTTGAACATCCCTGAACTGTAATAATAATAATAATAATAATAATAATAATAATAATAATAACAATATAACTTAGAAGTGTTGTCCTGTTTTCAATCCAAATATCTAAACAAATCTTAAACAAGATACAAACTAGACACATGTTTTAGCACAAGAAAAGATGTCTTGTTTTCTGAAAAAAAAAAAAAAAAAAAACTCAAAATTAAGTGATTGTTTGCTTAAAACAAACAAAATCATTTTCCAATGGTGTAAGAAAAATAATCTTAATGAGATATAATCTCAAACAGAAGTTTTAAGTATCACTTAATTTTCTTATGACATTTATTTGCCTAGTCTTGATTTAAGATTTTGTAGATATTTGGACTGGAAATTAGACAAAATTACAAAATAAAAAAGCTTACATACATGTAACAAATGGAAATGGACAAATGGAAAAATTACTGATACAAAAAGGCGAGTGAATAAAAATGGGTCTTTAGTCTTCCAATGCGAAATGCAAAGTGACTATGCCACCGCTGTTTTAGTACTGTTAACCCGTTTACTGGTGAGTTTAAAAGATTCTATGCATGAATAATCCATTCTAAAAATCTTTACCAATGGTAAACCAATGGTGTTAATAATTAATTTTAACTGATTTAATCAATTTATTGTTGCAACCCATTTGAGCACAAACAAATATTTGAGACACAACCCTGGCTTGTATTTCATAAAAAAAAAAAAATTAATTAATTATGAAAATAAAAACAGTACATCTTAAACTTCATTAAGTTTTTTACACATTTAAAAATCCCACAAAATAAGACCCTGATTTTCTGCAACATTTATAAAAAAAAAAATAATAATTGAAAAAAAACTGTTCAATGATCAGTATTTGTTTTATTATGTAATAGGTGCTAGAAATGTAAAAAATAACCATAAAAATAAAAAAGTATGTCATTAAGCACATGAAATTACTTCAAATACATACAAATGTAAATGTTATGTATGCATTTATGTAATGTATGCATGTACGTTTTTGTGGCTGCCATAAACCACAAGCCATCAGCGTGTCTGGAAATTGTAAAAAAAAATATATATATTAATAATAAAAAACCTTTGCAACATAAATGTAGCATTTATGCTTTTTTGTGTGTGCTTGTACCTGAATGAAAAAAACAAATCCCAAATATAAAATGTAACATAATAAAAGGGTTAACAGCATGCAATTACTATAGGGTTAAGGTTAGAATTAGCATTTGGTCAACTGTTATTGCATGTAATTATGGATATTTTACAGTTATTACTATAATAAGTGTGTAGCATGAGCATCAAGGTCATTGTAAAATGTTACAGAAAGAAAGAAACAAAGATAGAACGCAGCTTTTCTAAGAAACTAAACGCCCTACTGTATAGCAGTCTTCGTAGATCTAACACAAAAGCAATCAGCAGCCCATTCAGACCAGCGACTATGTGTGTGTGTCTGACTAAATGACACACAGCTGGGGTCCCACACATCATTTAGCAGCATTAGACAACAAAAGCTGGCAAACATCTTAGCTCTTGTAAGCCACAGATTAAAGTTTCTTCTAAACGAACAAAACCGCTTTGGCAAAATGTATTTAAATGTAGCGTAAATGACACATATGCTGTGGTGACACTCTAAAAAAACAATCTACAAACACTCTTACTCAGATTTTATGCTATAAACATTAAAAAGAGATCTTTTTCAGCCAAAGAATTGTGCGCAAACTATTTTGGACACAAATATTTGCTATTACACTAGACTGCCAAAAAAAAGGCCTTGGCTTGATTCTTGTCCAAATTTTTAAACGTTCTTTAATCAAGACAGATTTTATAGACTAGCACAAATATTTTGTTTTTGTTTTCGAGTCTTTCCATAAAACAAGCACAATAATCTGCCAACGCTGTAAGAGAAATAATCTTACATAAAAGTAAAAAATTGATTTTTTTTATAATCCCATTATCAGAGTAGTTAGACTGTTTTAAGAAAAAACTTTTTGATGTATTATTTCCGGGTCATACTTTACAATAAGGTTTCATTAGTTAATGTATTTACTAACATGAATTAATAATAAAAAATGCATGGTCAGAATATAATAATCATAGCTCAACATTTACTAATGCATTATTAAGATCTGAATTCATGCTTGTTAACATTAGTTAAAGCATGGTGAGTTAATGAACTAACAAACAACAACTTTATTTTCATTACCTAATGTTGCACAACATATATATTGTTGCAGAGCAAATACTGTAGTAAGTGTATTGTTTATTTTTTTGTAAACACATTAACTAATACAACCTTACACCCCATTTATATTGGGCGTCAGCATCAACAATCAGATATTTGGACAAGGAACATAAACATTTTTGCATTGTAAATGACAACTTACTTCTCAGAAGATGATAAATCTTCTTCTTAATAAAATATCCTACATGTGAGAATGCCAGTAGTCGGTCCAGTGGACAGTAATCTTCCACAGATAAATGCAAACTGGCAAACATATATGCCTCCAATTTGTTAGCCACACTCAATTTTCTACGTTTCAATCAATTCCTGCTAGATGAAATTAAGCTCCACCCTAGATTTATTTATTTATTTTTTTCAGATTTCAGAAGCGGTTTCACACGTTACATTAAAAATGCAGTAAGTTTGACATCCAGTGGTTGAACAAGATATTGCATTCCTAGATTAAAACACATGCTAGCGCAGGTTGCCAGATTAATGACCAACAGGAGCGAGTCTCGAGTCTAAAGGCTAATTTATATGTTATTCTAAATGAAAGCAAGGACACGTGATAGAAAGAATATTCTCCATATCAAAAGAGTTTTAGTCCTTTCCAACACCTGAAATTGATATATTAGAAACGGCTTCTACTTCTTACAGGTGAACAACAGAAAACTGACAACGATCACCTCAGGTACACCTCATGTGCTTTCTATCAGTTTTAAATGTAATAATGTGAGTTTGAATGCCATTTTACATGACATTTATTGCCATATACTGAAAGCAGCAGCAGATTTGAAAAATAAAATAAATGGCTTGAAATTTTACTTTAGAACTGTGACTCAGTGCAAGCCACTTCTGTGATTCAACATTTACATTTATTAATGAAATACATTGTTTTCAACCAAGGCCAGGTATGCAGGGTGATGAAATACAAGTGCTTAAACTGGCAATGGGCAGTTTAAATTGACCAAAACAAAGACAGACTTTCCGGCACGTAACACACATTTTCAATGCAGATATCTGACTTCAGCATTGTTTTTCAGATAAACAAGAATGTTCACTTAGTATGTTTCTGACATATCTCCAAACATATTATGGTAATTTTCTGCTTTAGAAAAGTCAAAAACAAAAACTTACACACAGCACCTTTAAAAAAAAAAAACAAGTACAAATCAATCTGTGTCATGCTAATTGTAAGGATTTTTGGACCACAATTGCATTACTACAATTAGAAAATGCAAAATGAGCAGATATCCAAACTTTCCATTGCTTCTGTATTTTGCTCTAATATCTGAACCTGTTTTAATCTAATAAAAAATTCCTACTTGTTTTTTCGAAGGGTTAGTTGCAATCCTGTCCTTGCTGCAACTTAACACATACAGAGAAACTTTTTAAACTCAGACAGCCGCAAACAAAAAAAGATTAATTTGTTTTTCAGCTTATCTGAACAAATTGTTCTTTGAGGTGCCAGTGAGCAGGAGCAGGAGACAGAAAGGTTAGGTAGCACAAAGAGCTTGCTGTTTGCTCTAATTTGCTTTAAACAATACCAATACAGGTCATAGTGATTCCATGACCCGTGAGACACACATATATGCAAAGTGGTTAAAAGCCAAACCCACACATTTATGGAATGTACATAATGCTGTGGAAAAATCTTTGCTTCACACCCGCAAACACACACACATACACACAAACACACACACACCTATTTAACAGAAAGGTTAAAAGGGGTTGACTTACTGTGGTGTCCTTCCACCTGGTGATAAAGCTGTTTTCTTTCTCCATTTGCCTAACCTGCTCGTCATTGACCTGTTTTAATGGACCCACAGAGATAAACAGAGATTAAAGCCCCAGTGCACTGTAAACAGACCTGCTCACATCCCCAACAGCAAAGTCAGGGCATTTCAACTCTTCAATAAGCATCCCAAAAGAGGACATAAACATAAAGCTAAAGACTCTAAATGATCCAAAACATACACAACTGAATATAACAAAAGTGTATCTGTTTGAATTATGTTTCTATGCCACTAGTGGCATGTTATTAACATTAGGGAAGCACAAAATATATGTACAGTATATGAAGTGTTAAGTAATTTTGAATATAATTCTTGTTTTCCATATTTTTACACTTAAATATTTAATATTTAAAACTAATTCGTACAAAGTGCATATTCTGCTGCTATTATACCTAAATTCACTTGTAACACGTGTACTGTTTTTAACAATAGAACCACCATGGGGTCAATTTTACCCATCACTGTTATTCAAATGTACATAACAGACCTTTAATAAAACATTAAAGTCTCCCAGTGATTGACTTTTACTTAAATTGTTTTATTTACAATTTCCATATATAAAAGATTTGTTTAGATAAAATGACATTAAAAAGCACCAGTGTGGGTCAAATTTACCCACTGTAAAAAATGCTTGTATTTTTGCTCTGCTTATGTTTAAAAATTACTCACCAGTGACTTTTACTTTCAATTTCACTCCCTGAAATAGTGGTTATAATGAATGAATAAAGTCACAATGACTAAAGAAAGTCGATTTGTAGAGCTATTAAAAACACAAAACGCAATGAATGATGTAGAGTCTGGAGAAAAAAGTTATGCATTAGGGTATGATGGCTCGAATTGAGATATTTTAACCTACTCACAATCTACTTCTAAAATAATATTGTCATGCTGAAATAATAATTTCATGAGTCTAGACACTTTTTTGTTAAACAGTGGTGAAAAACTTTTTTTTTTTGGCAATTTCAAAACAAAATTTGTGCTGGGTAAAATTTACCCGCACTGGCAGTTTTAGGTATGCAGCAACTTCCGGCAGTTCTAGAGTTAGATGTTAACTATTTAGGGGTCAGTAAATTTCAATCCAAAGTAAATATTTTTTTTCTGGAAATCAGTGTTTACAGGTTTCCATCACTCTTGCAAATATATACTTTGTGTTCAATAGAACAAAAAAAACTAGTTTGGAACAAATCAAGGGTGAAAGTAAGCAACATTTCTGGATGAAAATATTTGAAGGGTTAAAGTCATTTAAAGAAGATGCTTGCCTCAAGGGTGATTTATACTCGATGCGTTCGATAGCTAGCTTGAGTGCACACGGTGACCTGTGACGTCAACGTGGTGTTTGCGGAGGTTCATTTTGGGTTCACGCAACCTGGTTTTGGCTGGTGGAGTGTATGAAATTTCAGAAAGAATTTTATTTGAATTTAATATTAATCACTTTGAAGATTTTTGAGATTTTGTATGAAACAGGTTTGCCTTCACAGACATCCTTATAAACTGTCCATGCGTGATCATAGTGATAACCAGAAAGCCAATCATTCTTGGCTAGAAATTGCAACAGCAGTGGGAAAGGAAGAAAGTTTTTGTTAAAAAGTTTTTTTTTTTTTTTTTTTTTTTTTTTTTATCAAAGGAATACGTTTGTTAAAACCAAAAAGAGAGGCCATGGCAAAAGTGGAGACCTGTGGATTTAATAAACAATTACAGAATACATTTTTCCACCACTAACACAAACATTTTGAATTTTAAACAATTTAATAGATACAAACCATAATCAAGGAACAAATTATTTCTTTGATAACAGGAAAATAATACTTGAACCTCGGTTTAAAATATACTGATGGCCTGTTTTTTTTCTTGGCTTTAATGGGGATAACAATCAGGATCATTTTTGCCTTTTGGGCATTTAAGCAGAGTACACAAACTAGCCAGAGTAACGTGTGAATTGTGGAGTGGGCTAAATTAAAAAATTACAAAAAACTGTACTTTTTTTTTTTTGCTTTTTTCTCTCAATAATAAAAATATATTTGTAGAGTAAGCCATGTTCTGTTGTCAATAATATTTTAATTAACTTTAATAGGATGAACGGTTCGAGATGCATCAAAGTTTGACTTAAAAAAAACATTGAACATTTTAAAAAATCTTTATAATCATTAAAATAATTGATCAAAATAATACAAATAATTAGTTTAAAAATCATCAATAGTATTAAAGATATGACGTAGTTCTGGAAATTTTCTTCTTCTATGTTTTTCTGTTTGATTTTCAGTTGAATGACCCCTGTCGTCTTGAAAAATATCAAAACAGCAAACACGTCAAGTATAAAAGACTAGTCTGTTTCGTGAGGTGTGCGCACAGTCAGTGGAGGTCCACAACGCAGCATCAGGTGAAAGTATAAATCAACTTTAAGCCAAATTTATTTGGAAAAACTATAAAATTGATCAATATTATTGCAAATTAGCTTAACTGTGTTAACTGTATGTATTAGTAAAAAATTTTTTTCCTTCATTTATAGCAAATATGATTTTTAAATAGATCTCTACTAGAACTAGACTTCATAGTTAAACTGCTGATATAAATCATAGCTGATTTGATGTCCAAAAGAGGTAAAATGTTTCTTGTAAAATATATTTATTATTAGAACTTTTACCTAGATGACTTGATTAATACTTTTGCAACAATGTAGTACTTTGTACAGTCATTTTTAACCAGTCTAAAGGATCCTTGTTGAATGAAATAACATAAAAAAAAACAATTAAAATCTTACTGACACCTTTTTTTAGATTGTAGTATACAAATATGGCCATTGTTCAGGCTTAAATGCCAGAAATTAATTTGTCAGTTAATTATTTTGTTTAATAGATTTAGTAGAGCAAATCTAGGATTGAATTATTCCATTTCATATTTAATTAATGAAGTATAACATAAACTAAAACAAGCATGCGCATTAGTAAGAGGTGGTCGTAGAAGTGAATTTGTAATTTGAATTACAGTATGTTCAGAGCTACGTAGTTTAAAATAGGCTAACAGTCAGTTAATCTTTAGTATAAGATGAAACACACAGCTGCCTAAATAAATAGGCTATAAAATACACAGTTGATCACTTAGGCCTATTAAAATATTATTAAAAAATTGTACTGAAAGAAAAAAAGCACAAGAAAGAATGCTGCTTTAAAACAGAAACTTAAGTTATCAATGTGTTTTAATTTTAGAAAGTTGTTTAAAAAAATTAGCTACAAAAAAAATTTAGGTTAGCCTACTAGAGTAATTTTATGTTGAAGCAGGATCTGAGTGGTATTGGTGAGTGTTAACGCTTGCTTTCGGCGGTTAGCGACACACCGCTCAGCTCTGCACACATGCTCTGGCTGCCTACTACAGTATATTAGTTCAGTATGTTCACTGTGTTACATAACTGCCCCCTGCTGGTCATGTCTTTCTTGTATTAGACCATTTTGTGCTGTAACGCGCAGTACTGCAGCATTGTGTGTGGTCACATTCATTCACTCATTTTTAGTAGCCACATGTGTATGTAAACAAAACGGCATTCAATGATTAAGCTGTTTGGATTGGAAATGAATAGTAAAACAAAACACTTAGTAAAATGCTTAGCAGTAATACAAAAAATTGTGTTATTTTTAAACAAAACACCCTCCCCCCTACCTTCCCAAAAGAATTTATGTGTATACCAAATGTTTAATTTACACCTGTATATCACAGTGTTATGCTACACATTTCTCAAATTCTGCCATCAATTATGGCTATTTGTCACACTAAACTTCACGTTTCACACATTCTCCATCTTTCCGTCTCTACAAAAGTGCAAGTGTGTGTATGTGTGATGCCAAGGGGCCTATGAATGTAGTAGCGGGCCGAGGGGGAATTAGCACAGCGCAGCACTGTAAATCCCATTACAGAGGCACGCGTCCAAGTGCAACATGAACACCGTCCCCTTCTTCACACACTTACACTAGAGCTGCGCATTTCGTGGTTTTGAATGGAAATGCTTTTCACTGTTCAAAGCACCATGGAGTTTGTCATATACTCAGTAACGGGTAAACAGCCACAGCTTGCCAGTTTTTAAAGCCCTCTTCAAATGAGAGCTTTAACACCGACGAACCTGCAGTTCATTATGCATGTATAGTACAGTGTAGTGCAGATCAAAATTAAAGAGAAAGAGCAACCTATAATTTTTATACACTTTAAGGTCACTGCTTAGACCTGTTTAAAGATTTCCTAAGAAGAGTAAAATATCATTTTTAAGACTATTTCATGTTCATATTTCATTTTTATGTTCTGAAGCACAGTTTTAAAAAAGTAAAATGAGAAAAAAACATCTTAATCACCCCAAAAATCCTATTTAACAAGTATAAAGTGATGGAAACCCTGTTTGTCCAGATGGAAGCACAGGGATGACCTTTTCAGCAACAGTAAGAATTGCAAATCTGTGATTTAAAGAATATCTTTATAATGTCACCTCAAGTTCATTCAAGTCTCTTTGTTTATGAAAGGCAAATCCATGAGAGGACAAAATTAATCACAGAAACTTCTTCTGCAATGTGTATTTCCTTCCCTGCATTCTTTGCCCAATCAGTCAGTACCTTTCAGACAGGATAATAAGCCTCATCACAAATGGAAAATTTTGAAGATAAAACAATGAAATGATAAAGTGACCAACCTAGAATCTTGATCTAAACCTGAATGAATATTTCTGTAAAGTCCTTATTGACTAATTTATGGCTAAGAAACCCCCACAGTCTGTGAACAGTGGGACAACAACACGGATCAAAATCACAGCAGAGCAGTGTGAGAGACTAGTGATGTTTTGTGGCCAAAGATGTACCGAAGTAATATAAAAAAAATAAATAAAAAAAAATAGCTTGTACATTTTCTTCCTATATTTGACGACTTTGAGCTTCAGAAATTGTAGTTGTAATCCAATATAATAGAAAAAGAATCATTTGTAAAGTGCTTTGGTTATTGTATAAAGGCAACAGGCCTTAAACAATAACCAAGGCACTTTAACAAGTGATTTCAGAAAATTTCACAGCAAGCATAATAACATACACTCACCAGCCACTTTATTAGGTACACCTTACCAGTATTGGGTTGGACCCCTTTTTGCCATCAGAACTGCCTTAATCATTAATCATGGCATAGATTTAACAAGGTACTGGAAATATTCCTCAGAGATTTTGGTTCATATTGACATGATAGCATCACAAAGTTGATGCTAATTTGTCAGCTGCACATCCATGATGTGAATATCCCATTCCACCACATCACATAGGTGATCTATTGGATTGAGTTCTAGTGACTGTGAAGTCCATTTGAGTACAGTAAACTAATTGTCATGTTCAAGAAACCAATCTGAGATGATGCTTTATGACATGGCGCGTTATCCTGCTGGAAGTACACTGTGGTCATAAAAAAGACGGACATGGTCAGCTACAATACTTACAGTAGGTAGGCTGTGATGTTGACACGATGCTCAATTGATACTAATGGGCCCAAATTGTGCCAAGAAAATATCCCCCACACCACTATACTACTATACTGAACCATTGATACAAGACAGGATGGATCCATGCTTTTATGACACCAAATTCTGACCCTACCATCTGAATGTTGCAGCAGAAATTGAGACTCATCAGGCCAGACAACACTTTATCCAATCTTCTATAGTCCAATTTTGGTGAGCCTGTGTCAATTGTAGCCCTGTGTTGTTGTTCTTAGTTGACAGGAGTGGCACCCAGTGTGGTCTTCTGCTGTAGCCCATCCGCCTCAAGGTTGGACGTGTTGTGCGTTCAGAGATGCTTTTCAGCAGACCTCAGTTGTAATGAGTGATTATTTGAGTAACTGTTGCTTGCAACCAGTCTGGCCATTCTCCTCTGACCAGGCATTTGAGCCCACAGAACTGCCGCTCACTGGATATTTTCTCATTTTCAGACCATTCTCTGTAAACCCTAGTCATGGTTGTGCATGAAAATCCCAGTGAATCAGCAGTTTCTGAAATTCTCAGACCAGCCCATCTGGCACCAACAACCATGTCATGTTTAAAGTGACTTAAATCATATTTCTTCCCCATTCTAATGCTTGGTTTAAACTGCAGCTGATCGTCTTGACCATGTCTACATGCCTAAATGTATTCAGTTGCTGCCATGTGATTGGCTGATTATAAATTTGCATAACAAGCAACTGGACAGGTGTACCTAATAAAGTGGCAGATGAGTGTAATATTAATATAAAGATAATTATAAATACGTTGTTCTACAAATCATTCTGAATTTAAAACAACAGCAGAGCCACAACTATAACAATATAGATGTAGAGAAACAATATCACTGGAATGACTTTCAGAACAATTTTTTCCCAGGTAATGAGATCTTGAGAAGAGGTGTCACGATAGCAATAATCTCCTCACTGCAAGGTCACTGGTTCAAGCCGAGGCTGGGTCATTAGGTATTTCTGTATGGAGTTTGCTTATTCTTACTACAATGGCGAAATTCGCTGTTTGATTAGATCGATTACACAAGCTAAATTCACTGGTCAAATGTAAGGGAAAAAAAGCATTATAAGAACATCTGTGAGTTACAAGGCGGTAACGCAAACAAATGAAGCATAAACTAAAAATAAACAGATCCTTATAATTTGCTGGTATGGTGGACACAGATATAGTTACCAGATAAAGTAAATGTAAAGTTACCGAGAATGGTATCATGATGTAGCCATAACTAAAATGCCTTAAATTTTTTTTCTTATGACATTAACAGCATTACTTTTGAATGAAAAATAAAATCAAGAGTAGTATAAATTACTCTTTAACTTTTATCTCTTTTTAACGAGCAATAACTATAATATAAACAAGGACCATTGCCTTGCATCACATCACAATAATAGACTGCACATGATAAAAAAAAAAAATAAAATTCAAGGTCTCTCTTTAGTGTATTAATAAAAGGGTTATAGCAGTATTAATTATTAATTAACACTACACACCTGTGAAATCATAAAAAACAACACTGTGAAAATGTTTTTTGGCTCTCATACCACAAATATTATGCTATGAATATGAGAGAAGTGAATAGTAGAGCAGACTCGTGTTTAGCAGGCCCTTTGGGACTCGACCGACAGAGATCAACTAGGCCTGTATCCTGAGAGAGGATATGCGCTTAACTCACAGAAAAAAGCTGGATGTAATTGTTGATGAGGTCTTCCACCACTTGAGTCTCTTGAGCTGTGTGTCCCTCCGTCTGAAAGAGGCATGAGGAGAAAACACATGCCAGCCTCTGTGAGCTCATCTGGTTGATGTGTGAGCACCTCTGGATTCTGTGCAGACGTAATATATGTGCATAAATTTAATGCTACTGGTGAGGGAAAAAAGACCTACATAAATCATAGATGAGTAAACGCACACATGGTCTGTACCAGTAAACACATACACATATGTATATATATATATATATATATATATATATATATATATATTTATATATATATATATATATATATATATATATATATATACACACTTCTGTATTCATATAATGTGTAAAAATGCTGCATTCTTCTCAATGTAAGCTGTGTTATTGTCACCACAATGTTAAAGCAGTTTTATTTAGCTGTGAGTAGATATAAATGAAAGACCGTATATAAGAGACAACAACAAAACAGGCAGGTGCAAATGCGGCATAGACCTGAAGACAACAAAACGATTATTGTACATCATGTGGGAAATGTTAGGCTACACTCCAAATTTGCCAAAAGGGCCAATTAAGCCTTCTTCAAACAATTAGAGTCATTACAGGAGTATTCTGAGCAAGCTGATGTACCCAGAGAGGCTTTGAAGTGCCCGTGTTTGCTGTGCTGCACTGTTTATCCAGACCTCAAACATTCAACAAAGACCAACTGGAAATGGTACAGGCTTGAGAACATGTTTTAGTGAAACATTACCTGTACAAATGCTGCAGCAGGGCACCGAGTGTTGATCTGTTGACTTTGGGCAAACTCTGAATGTAGGAGGAATATTTTTGCACTCTGACCTTCTCGTCCTGTTCATCTGCATCGAGGGACAATAAACACCATTTAAAGAATGTCCTCACAAAAAATAATAATAATAATAATAATGTTTTCAGTTGTTTTAATTGAAATTCAATGTCCTAACAACATCTGAGATGACAAGAAACATAACATATAAAGTAAGTAAGTTAGGGATAAAGTACATTCAGGAGAATTTTAATCGCAGAATAAAGCCTGACATGCTTATTGACAACCTGGCATGAAGCGGACTGAAAGTTTTTATTCTGTGAAAACAACCATCCTGGATATACTTTATACCTCTTTTTACATGGCTACTTGCCACAAAACATAAAATTGGCCACAAAACATTGTTCTGAGCCATAAGGCTGCATTTGCACTGCATGGTTCAAGTGACTCAATTCCGACTCTTTTCTCCCATGTGGCACAGATGGGATATGGCCCATGTATGTGTAAGTGTAAATCACATGGATTCCGATTTACTTAAATCCGATTCAAGCCTTGTTCATATGTGGATATGAATATACATATGAATGTAAGTAAATGCATTTGAATGTATTCACTGACGGTTAAGGTGATTTGAAATTCCCAGATGTTTTATTTTGCAGTTTTTTTCTCGGCACAACATTTTTTGGAATGTCACGACTGACCAGAATTTGAATCAAGAAATCCAGACAGCCATGTACTAAACGTTATTTAAACACTGAAAAGACAGCTTTTGTTATGTCACAGCTATTTGGATTGTGTTTATTCTATTCACTTCTGAAGTTTTGTGTTGTTTAAAATTAATACAAACAGAGAAGGCGGAGCTAAATATGTCTGAGGGGAGGGGCAACTCACTCACTTTGAGTCTCTGATTGGTGGAATTGTCCAAGCAGCATTATGGTTGATTTCTTGTACAAAGTGTAATATTAAACATTATGATTCTGATATTAAATTTAATTAATACACACAAGTGGACTAAAAAAATCATCAATCAAGTTTTCAATGCCCATCTGTTTTACTATTTCATCCCAACATCATGTACACAGTGCAAATTATGCATGCACAGTACAGCCTTGCTACAGAACAAACCATATTTATACAATGATTTGCCTAATTACCCGAACTTGCCTAGTTAGCTTAATTAACCTGGTTAAGCCTTTAATTTATTACTATTATTATTATTATTATTATTAGTAGTAGTAGTAGTAGTAGTAGTAGTAGTAGTAGTAGTAGTAGTAGTAGTAGTAGTAGTAATATTGTTTATATCTCAACGTTTTCAGGTATGTTCACCACATTGACAAAGTTGTATACCCTTCTATGCTATAGACTAGAAACAGTGGACCAGTGTTACTACTCATACACAGGAGTAGATTAAGTAGCTGGTAGCACAAACCAAGGGCGGAGATCCAAAAAGGGTATAGTTCTTTAGCCAGCAGGGCATCTTCGCTGTGGGACAGAAAGCTCTTGAGTGTGTCTGTGACGTCCTCCAGTCGCTGCTCTTGAACCCGAAGTTTAACAACCCGAGCGTCTTTGGTAAATTCCTGGATGAGGTGAGCCACTCGCCCCGGGTCACCCTTCTTCTGGTAGATTCCCTCATAACACAAGCCTGAGAGGGAAAGGTCAGTGGTGAGTACTCTGTTAAATAACTTTATCATATCCTTGTGATATAAACAGTCATTTTTTGATGATTAAATGCATTGAAATGAAGCACAAATGATTAGCTCTCACAGGAATATAAATGACATACCATATTGGGTGACAAATGCAATGCAGCTATCCACAATGATGGGAACATCATTTTTATTCATTTGCTGGTTGCTGAGAGCCATACCGTCCGTTCCAGCTGCCAACTGGATGGCGGAGTGCCACAGTGCAAAGTCCTGCTTGGTTATGCAGTGGATATACAGAGTCCTTAAGAAGAAAAAAAGAAAAAAGAAAAAAAAGGGGGGGGGGAGGTTTAAAAATGAATGTTCAATACACAGATTATGCCTGAAAAGAGTGTTGACTTTCACTGTACATTACCATTCAAATGTGGAGGACATCATGAGCTTAAATTTGCTCTTGATATTGGTGGGGACATACATCCCTAGAGTGCATGCAATGAACAACACAAATTCTGTTTTGTGCTTTTAAAAGCATGAATAAAGTACTTAATAATATAAAATAATAATTTATTATTACAAAGAACAATGACGTGCCATTCTACAAAAGTCAATTTAGATTATTTTATTGCAGTCAGACTTTGAGAAGGCATAAATGTAAAAATTCAGAGAGGTGTGTGTAACTGTTTTATCCCAATAATAGTTTTTCATAACTGTGGCGAACTTGACTTTGTGCATATGTAGGTTACTAAGGGTTGACCAAGCATTATTTTACTTTGAAATTGATTCAATTATTGGTAGGCACATTTCAGCTATTGGTGGGCATGCCCCCTCCACCCATCCAGATTTTTAAAAATGTCTTAACCAGATCAGCTAATTCAATTTAATAATATCTAAAAAAGAATTATATATATATATATATATATATATATATATATATATATATATATATATATATATATATATATATATATATGAATAATATATTAAGTATTAGCAAATAGTTGATTCTGTTATCTGTTCATAGTTATCTGTTAAGCATTAATATTTCCTAAATTATGTTTAACAGAGCAAGGAAGTTTTCAAAGCATGTCTGATAAGCTGTATAGAAGTGTCTTGAAAAATATCTAGTAAATACTGTCATCATGGCAAAGATAAAATAAATCAGTTTAAGTAAATAAAGTAAATCAGAAAATTGCTGTATTAAAAATGTATTGAAAAAAAAAAAATCTTCTCCCCGTTAAACAGAATTTGGGAAAAAAAATAAATAAACAAGGGGGGCCAATAATTCTGACTTTAACTGTACATAAAATTCTGACCCATGCATAATTTAGTATCACCATACAGGTAACATTTTGCAGAACAAAAAGAAGAGTTACAATAAATGAAAAACAAAACAAAACTAATAAAAACAGCAAAGCGACTTAATATAAACCCCAAACCTTTGCATAGTAGAGTGTTTAATGACATTTAACATTATAAAATAAGGTACAACTCTTCTGTACCTTCCACTCTCCACCATAAGTAAGACCTGAATGTTCTCGTCACCCTCAATATGAGTGGACACAGCTGAAAGAGAAAACAAACCAAAATCAAACTTTAGCAGAGGAAGTCCATAAAACTATCACCAATTAAGGATAAAACACTCTTACTAAATCACTAAAATTAACAGCATCAAAAGTGGAAAAAACAACAACAATAAAAGAGAAACGTGAAGCAAAACAAATGATGAGAGCTTCAGTGTTTGTAAGCTTTCCAGCTTCAGTAAGTGGTGTATAAAGCTGAGTGCTGCTGGTCATTATGTTTCTACAGAAAATGGGGGAAAAAAGCTTTGCTGAAGCCATCAAACATACACTCATTCAAAATCATTGATTCTTCAGCTAATGTGTCATTTTCCCCACTTCCTTTTGTCTCCATCTTTCCTTCAAGTGTCAGACCAATATTACCAATGACAAAAAGCTCCTTCAATTTTTAAATTACGTTTAATTAATCAAATTCACAGACGGATTTACTTGTGCATAAATTCCCAGATTAATCTATTTCAGAGTAATAAAAAACAAAGAGATCAAGTGAGAACAAAATTGCTCAATTATTTTTAAAACTCCATTCTGTAGTAAAATCAACTGAAACATGGGAACTTGGGAACTAAAAAAAACACTTTAATTGCTGCACTTTAGTCATTTTCAGGGTTAGGAAAGTTTGTTTACTAATGTAATTGAAAATTATTAAAAAAAAAGGGGGGTGGAGGAGTGCTTTTGGGCACACAAGCTTTATTAAAAGCCATTACTGAAAAGAGGCAAACATTCACTATCGCAGTTTGATAAAAACAAACAGCACTCGCTTCATCCTTTTAACCTCCCTTAAACATTAACGCTCTTAACGTTTATGAAGAAATTAAAAAGCTGAATTAAATGAAACAGCTTTGTGGCCATCATGATTCCAAAAACACATCCATGCAACTCTTTTTTTTTTTTTTTTTCTTGTTTAGACATCTATAGAAATTATTTACAGAAACATAATGACATCGGATTAGATGTTGTTTTCCATTTATTGAGGGTTCAGATTATGTTGACAGATGAAAGACAAGTCAAAGTAATTATTCTTAAAGTCCCCAGCGGATTTACAGTGTTGCACAAAAGAGAATGACCTTCACAATGGATTTTTTCAGTTTTTCAACTTTTATGTAATCAGAATGTAAGCTGCATTTTAGTGAACGTAAGTGGAAAATAACTGCTTTTCAGAACCTGTTATAAAAATAACATACTTTTAAAGAATATCGTTTACAGTACTCAAGTGTTAACTGAATTTAGTGACACTCAGGCTGGGGAGTCGACTAATCAGCCAATCACATGGCAGCGACTTAATGCATTTAGGCATGTAGACATGGTCAAGCCGATCGGCTGCAGTTCAAACCAAGTATCAGAATGGGGGAAGAAAGGGAATTTAAGTGACTTAGAAAATGGCATGGTTGTTGGTGCCAACCGAGCTGGTCTGAGTATTTCAGCATTTTACTGCTGATCTACTAGAATTTTCACACACAACCTCTAATCTCTATGGTTTAAAGAGAAAAAAGAGAAAATATCTAGTGGAATTTCAAGATCTCAATTCAATAGAGCATTACTGTCATGTGGTGAGATTTGAATCATGGATGTGCAGCTGACAAATCTGCAGCAACTGCGTGATGCTATCATGTCAATTTGGAACAAAATCTCTGAGGAATATTTCCAGTACCTTGTTAAATCTATGCCATGGAGGATTAAGGCAGTTCTGAAGGGAAAAGGATGCCCAACCCAGTACCAGTGAGGTGTACCTAATAAAGTGGCCAGTGAGTGTATATTAAATGAAATTATGGAAACTTCAGAGTGCCTTTTTGGCCCACTTAAACAGGCATATTTCCATACTTTTGTAGTTTTGGGATATAGTTATTGTGCACTGATAAATGTGTTAACTGAAATACATTTTATGTTATTTATATTTTATTTATTTACTTTATTTATACAGGGACAATGTACAACATGACATGTTGTGCCAGAGTTAGCTATAAAGCTCATTTACATCTGTAGTCCCTGGGCAGTAAGTAACAAATTTAACAGTAATAATCAATACAATATACATTGTATATATTGATTGAGCTAAATTGAAATTTTAATTACGATTATGCTACAATTAACACTAATAAAACATTGTTTATCAATATATTTGTTCATATAATTTAATGTATTTGCTACCATGAGCAAACAGTAAAGTATTTATTTACATTTGGTAATGTTCATTAATAGAAATAAAGTTGTTAATAATTAGTTAATGTTGCCTCACAGTGAATTGACAAATGTTAGCAAGCTTAAATTTGCATTTTAATAATGCATTAGTAAATCTATATGATTAAAGCTGCAGTAGTTGATAGTCTTCAGAAACATTTTTGTTGTGCTGGTTGAAAGTCTCTTCACATTCCAATAGTTAAAGTAAATGATCTAAATTTGTATATATGTATTTTTATATTCTGGGAAAGGCATAATACTAAACAATGTTCATTCAATTAAAATTTGTTGGGTCGATAATTCCCATCATACTGATAATTAGCCAAACTGACTGTCAACAAATGTAGATTTGTACAACTGCGCAGCCCTATTCATGCAGACAGTTCCGCCAAGTTCATATGGAGACGATTGACACAAATGATAAATGCTGAATCAAAACCTTTTAAAATCCTAAATCAGTATTGGAATTTCTTTTGCATGCTGGAGGAATGATGACACCATGGCTGAAGGATTTCTTTTAGACAGGTAATGTTATGTTTTAAAACTATTTTATTCATGCAGATTTTGTGTTTTATAAATGGGTTATATGCACAGAAGTGTTGTTCAGCCACTGATATCTCCCGGTGAAAAAAATTATGTGTCTATTTTCAGTTTTATAAGGGACCATTTACTGCATCTATTCCGTCGAGCCTGCTTTACTGAGGTAAAGTTGGTTTTATATTCATATTGGTTTAGTTTTGAACAACGACAGCCTGTGATGCACTCCCTTTATTGTTTACCATGCTACTTTGAACATTTGGTCTGAAAAAAGATGCCAGCATGGCTTAGTAATAATAGTAATTCTTGCACACCACCAGCCAACCACTAAGCATACACTAGTCACTTTAAGACAGTGCGTGAGAGAGTGAGACCAGTAATCCTTGCATGCATAAAATATTGCACTTTATGACAAGTTTTGCTTGCTACACAAGTGAAAATGTGCTAGACATAATGCCGTTTTTCATTGGGAATTGTAGTATTATAGAGTACCATTAAGTTTTTTTTTTTTAACTGGCAAATTACATGATCTATTGGGTTGTCTATTGTCATCTTTAAGGTGCGCATTCTTGATTTCAGGAGGCGTGAATTTGGACAGCAGGGGAGGGACTGTGTTTTCAAAGCTATTGTGTTAACGAATAGTATTCACAATTGACTTTCATGATGTTTTTTGGTCAGACGGAATGCTGAATATTGAAAATTGCATGGCATGTTTTAATTTTTTTTGTGATTTTACATTTATAATAATGTTAAAATTAAGTGCATTTAAATATAACTGTAAATAATATTTATAGTTCCAAGTATAATTAAGCACTTTGCGTTTTGTGATTGTGACACCCAAAACACGAGAGTAAATGTTTAAAGCAATAATTTAAAACATACATTAAAGTAAAACTTTTCACTGACCATTAGTACAAAGTGCACATTTTAGGAAATATATATATATATATATATATATATATATATATATAATATGCCCTTTATTAAATTAATATTGTATTATCTGCAAATTCATTAAACAAAAAACTACAAGTTTCCTAATATGTCTGAACATAAAGAAACTTTTAAGATCTTCAAGAACAACACACCCTTACATCAGATCATCCAGGAGAAACTGCACACCACATTTCAGGAGCACAGAGAGCAAAGGCTTTCACAAATGCTTTAACGTTGCCAAACTGTCATTCAAGATGCTTAAAGAAATTATTTTGAGGAGCTTTGAAGCATTTGCTCGCAAAAGACTATGCAAGCCCGTTTCAAAAGCCTCTTTGTAGACTAAATAAAACATATGACTTTCAGATGTCATCTCCACATAAAGCTCTTCCATTGCTAAATGGATGAATGCGACGTTTGCTCTTTTGTTTGTTGCAGAAACGCGTAGAAGAGGGTGATTCGGGGCTGAACCGCTGCTCTGTCTATGTCTGGGTCCTAATCTAATTTCACAGAGCTGCAGCCCTTTGAGGCCCATATGTTCTGTCACTATAGAGATCTTAAACCACTGGAGACGGTTCGTTAGCGCGCCACGCTACATTTCAAGCCTCCGCAAACTGTTGAGGCATCACCCTCTTAATCCTGCCCCGAGTATGTTGGCTTTCTGGATTTGATCCTTTTTCTGGCCTTGAACGGATTAGGAGAGAGAGAAGAGAGAAAAAAATAAAAAGATTCATTGATTTTTCCCGCCTCGTTCTAGCGCAATTGATTGAAAATGTTGCAAATCTGGTCCATGGTTGCCAAGCTCATGTCATCTACCAACCTCCCGAACGCGATTGCCATCGGCAACTGCGGTCTCCCTTGGAGACGGGCGAGACGTGTGACCAGACGGGTCTTTTAGAGACGTGGGAACAGAGTCAAACATTAGCACACTGGGAATGCCAATGAGAAAACACTAGCAGACAGAGGTGAGATGAGATTTCAAGAAAATCATCAGAAGAAGCAAGGTGTTTCAAACTATTACTGACACACAGAGGTCATTGATGAAATTCATTGAAAGAACAGAAGATATAGGTAGTTTTTACAAACAGAATAATGCTGTGTCTATTTAGAGGAGTTAGTAAACACAATTGAACTGCACACACAATAATACACTGAATGTTTACAAAGTAGTTATTATATATATATATATATATATATATATATATATATATATATATATATATAATTTTTATATTAGCGCTGTCAAAATTAACGTGTTAACGCATGCGATTAATTTGAAATAATTAATGCGTTAAACAAAATTAACGCAATTAACGCAGTTTTTTTTTTCTGTTGTGGCCAGGGGCAGACGCCGGGCAGTTTCCTGCTGTTTCGACATACTTTTTGGGCCAGGCTGTGATCGTCTTATGATCTGATCGGCCCATAAAACACTTAGCACATTGTCATGTTTTTCTACCTCAGTGATTGACGATGCTGTGAGCTGTCACGCTCTGAAAGTAAGATGTTTCTTTTCCAGACAGAGCGGCAGTGTGATATAATCTGCAGTCCATTGGTTCTTTTCTTTATTGACATTGGGCTGACCCAATCAAAAACTTCCATGTTGGGCTCTGTGTAACGTAGGTGTGTATTTGTCAGAATAGCCGAGAGTCCCGCCTGTTTCTTACACGCGGGTCTGCGCCGCGGGAGAGCAGGCTTTTGCGTCTGCACTCTGCCGCGGAGCACAGATCAATATATTCCTGTCTATTCTATGTAGTTACCAATCTGTCCATATACATATACTTTTTTTAACTTTTAATCTGCACCAAGGCCGCGGCAACTTCCTCCTATAATGCTGTTTCCTTAACCTGCAAGTCTTTATTTTACAAATGATAAAGAATGTCTGCTTCTCAAGCTCTGTGAGTGTCATTCATGTATTTTAAGATGCACTCAGTCAGAAGACAAGCGCATAAGATATCATGACATTGTGTTTTTGATCGTCAGCATGATGTAGTCTTATAGTGACAATAATATTTATACAATATGGTTAATATAATGATATTTATACATGACCAAACTAGTGTGTAACTTAAGCAACTTTTTTTACATTTAGTTTTGTAGTTCGGGCAGAAACAAATATTTGTTGCATTTTTTAATTGTTTAAGTTCACTTGATGGACAATGTAAAGCTGTTAGCTACATTTGATGTTTCATTGTTGAGTTAAACATGTTTTTAGGGTCTCTGACACATTGCTTTTATTATTTATCTTTATTTTATTAATCAACATTAACTGTGTGCGTCAACAGGAAGTTTTTGTTATGCTCATTTTTCTCTAGGCTCCCTCAAAACACACAGGCATCCACATTTCCATTGTGGATTATAATTTTATTTTAATAATAAATAAAATAAAAAATGTAGTTTTTTAATTTGTCAACTCTCATTATTTCCTATATATGGCTTTTGTGCTTTTATAGAATGGGAGTTGGTAAACCTATTCAAGGGCATGCACAGATTTTCAATAATTTATTATTATTATTATAATTTTCCATATCTGCAATGCCTGTATTTTGGCATTTTTTTGCAGTCCACTTAGAATCCAATATGGAAATCAATGTTTTCTTTATTGGCATTGATTGTTTTGAAATTCAAATGGCATTAACATGCCTGTGTTTTTATTTCTGTAATAAATATGGCTGTCAAGCCAGGATCTTGATGGTTTATTGTGGGTATGTTGTTTACATGAAGAAATATGTGTTACAAGTAAACAAAAATTCTAATAATGAATTATATTTTGGATTTAAATAAATTCAAATAGTATTTGTCTTCCGTTTACATTAATTTTACACTCGAATAGCCAAAATTACAAGTTTCAGTCTTTTAAATCCCATTAAACACAATTAATCGCAATTATTATTATTTCTAAAGTGCGATTAATTAGTTATTTTTTTATCGATTGACAGCAATAATATATATATATATATATATATATATATATATATATATACATACATTTGAATTTCAAAACAATCAATGCCAATAAAGAAAACATTGATTTCCAAGTTGGACTCTAAGAGGACTGAAAAAAAATACAGACACTGCAGATATGGAAAATGGAAAATTCTAATAACAATTGTAGATAATACTCTTATTAAAAGTCTACTGTGTAAACAGCAATTTGATTGCCTTTAAGGAACAACGAGTCACGAAATGCGTAGGTTTTTCTTTCCGTTCCCCATGCGGTATCAAATTACATTAAAACAGAAGTTGAAAATTAAAAATGACACATCTGAAAATGCATAAAACTCGGGAGAGTCTGATGATGTGACATTAATTGTTTTATACTGAAACTTGCCTTCAAAAAGGGCTTTTCTTTGCATGTTGAACAATATATATATATATATATATAATTGTTCTGAAAGTCTCATGTTGTGTTTAAAAGAAGAAAAAAAAATTCATAAAAGTTTGGAAAAATATTGATGAATTATTCCTTTGATATGTATCATTCCACTGATTTGCAAGCAAATTTGTTCTCACTCAGCTCCTGTAGGCGTTTGAGTTGAAGAACTCCCTCCTCTTCATCTTCATCTCCAGAACAGAAGTACAGCTCTGAGCCCACCAGAGTAAACCATCCGATTCGCCAGTGATAAAGATCATGACCCTCTTTATAGTACAGTCGACCAATCAGCTCACTGTCCTGCCTCAGCAGAGCATCTGCCCTTGGAGGGACAAAACTCTGGAAAGCAAACGAAAGGAAAAAAATATTAGACAGAGTGAGATGCAGAGAGAAAACATTTAAAAGTCAGGGGCTTGCGCAGATCACACAAATAAGTTTTTAGTGTTTTTCTGCCAAACACAAACCACAGCTAACCCTGGAGTTGCATTAAACGGGCATATACAGATAGAAGTACAAATACAAACACCCTTTGAACATTCCCTCGCTGAGCTCTTCGAGTTACACAAACACTTCAGCCTAGACACTAACACCTCTACACTTCACTTAAATGGGAATGTGTGTGTGTGTGTGTCTGTCTGTGAGTGAGGGATGAGAGCCAAGAGAGATGGATCTGTTTGAAGGAGTAATAGCATACACCCACTCGCACAAGAAAAAAAAAACACTATTGCACAGCGACACAATAGGGACGAAGACAATATAATGACCTTCAAGTGTTAATGCACGCAGTATAGTGCAGCAAACAGGAGCATTCATATTTAAACGCAAACACAGCACATGTATGCTAAAGCCCTACGATGGTGAAAGTTGTGCTAAATCTTTAAGGACCTATTTAATGTGTTAGCGTGTGTGTGTGTGTGTGTGTGTGTGTGTGTGTGTGTGTGTGTATGCTGGTTTTGATGGTGAGAACAAACTTATATAATGACATTGGTGTAACCTACACTGTAAAATATCCATAAAGTAGCTGGTTTTCCGTATTTTGTGAATCATGTTGTTTTTTTTTCCATGTTTATTAATGGTTTTGAATTGTATTACGTGAGCTCGATCTTTCTTCCAAACACTTTTGAACTTGACAAGTTAAAAAAGTGATTTTTATTCATCTTTTTAATAGTTTAAAGTGATATATTGTCTGTGTTTGTGTTGTACGATGCGCTACAAAAACCTTGTAATAAACTGCCAGTACATGTTCAATTAATTTACAACCTTTACGATGGTGGCCAGGAAGTGCATAACATCATAAAAAAAGTGTGAAACACTTTTACGAGGCTTGAGACAAATTTACATTTTGGAGAACATTTTTACCTACCATAAGACACAATTACATAGGAAAAACGATTTTACCAAGGACAAAACAAATTTACATTTTAGAAAAAAAAGACACAAAACACTTTTACCAGTCCCGAAACAAATGTACACTGACAGATTTTTTACAGAAAGAAAATGTACCAATACATGAGCAGCTTAACGGGTTTTGCTTTACGTGTGGTCTGTGTTTGGAGTTTCTGAAGGACGTGAACCAGACAGAAACACTTGACAAGCTGCATCAATGTGTTCGATAGTTTAATAAGGGCCACTCGTACGCTGTAATCGTGGATATTATTTCAAGTCTACATTGTCTAAACATCTGCTCGAGAACTCTTAAAAAGTAAACTGAAAGAAGCTGATGTTACGGTTTAACTGATGTCCGCGTTAACTTGTGCCCCTTCCCAGATGTAAACTATTCACGTTGGCACATTGGCAAATTCTGCACTTTTTCACAGCAACAAAACTTGCCAATACCAAATAAATATTCTCATTACTTGGTGTCAGTGTCACTGTAAACATTATTGATTTTAATATTTGTGTAGCAGAACAGTATATAACCAAAATAACGTAAAGAAATGATTATAATTTACAAGTCATTAGTGGTATTCAAACCCAAGTTAAAAAATTCAGCAAGAGGATAAATCAACCAATCTAACGGAGCTATTCAGCACTACAAGTTAAAGTCGGTTTTAATACTTTTACCAGGCAAAATATTCTGTGCTTTGGTTGTGCACTCATGTTAACTTGTTTCCTTGTACTTGCGTTTACATGTTACTACAAACTCTCACACTGATGTTTTCTCAAAATAGCTCTAAATGACAAAACAATTTTTGATTGCAGTTCGTCAAACCATGATTTTTGTAGGTGCAGTCTCATGTTAACCTGTGCTTTGGTCACACACGAGCTGATATTTTCTAGTGTGTGGTACATTCTGTCTCACTTCCTGTGTGTGGTACATTCCCTTTTCGTAAAGAATCTGTCATTGTATATTTGTTTCGGGACTGGTGAAAGTGTTTTGCATCTTGTTCATTTTTTTTTCTATAATGTAGATTTGTTTTGTCCTTGGTAAAGTCATTTGTCCCATGTAATTGGGTCTTATGGTAGGTAAAATATTCTTTAAAATGTACATTTGTCTTGAGCTTTATAAAAATTCCACAATTTGTAACGTTGTTTTGCACTTACCAGCCACCGTACTTATTTCGTTATATATGATTTCTTATCCATTATATGATTTCAAACTAATAAAATGTCAATGTCATTATGTTAAATTCTACAGCCAAGTTTTCAACATCAAAAGTTGACAGTCAACATCTCATAATGCAGTTCACAACCATAAATAAATGGAAAACATTTGTAAATCACAAAATTTGTTGACTGTTAATTAACAGACTTTTTTTTTTACAGTGCGGCTATTATAACATTAACAAGAAATGTATATTTTTGAGTGAACTATCCCTTTAATTTACTCTCCCACAAATCATCCAAGATTTCTTATTCAGTATAACATTAAATGCATATCATGGTGCTTTTAATCTTTACCATAAATATCAGTGATTATATCTAAACTATAACCCTAGTACTTCTGTGCTATTTGACTCCAATACTAACTCAAAAGAACAAAGACTTAAACTCTTTCTTGATTTTTGCATTTTTTTAGATTAGAATGCAGCGATTCAAAGGGTTAATAAACTTATGCAAACCACCATCTTTTATAATTCATGTTGCATAGGTGTTGAGATCCTGATCTTTTAATAGTGCAGCTTACACTGAATGTGATGCAGGCTAAACAAGTAATGACAAAAAAACACCTTTAATGAAACCCACCACATCCCAAATAACCCACCCAGTTCTTCTTACCCATCATTGAATTTTACAAGGAAGTCCAAATGCTTTTATACATGTGATTTGAATGAACCAGCAGGCGATCTGTCTATGATCGTTACAGAAGTAGAAAAATGTTTTAATCTGTGGGTCATGTGTGTTCAAAAACATTGGTTGTGATCAGTAAGAATCACTGATCAACCGTGATCCGTTACACTCACAATTTAGCTAAAGGTGCAGGGTAAAACGGATCAAACAGAACCCTTTTGAATGATTATTTTTCATTTTCAAATTAGAGATTGTGTGTACATATACGGAAGTGAAAATTCAAGTATCTAAATTAGTTGATAGTGGCTTGTTAATGCAGGTATCTGAAACAGCTGATGATGTAATTGGTAAGTTTGAGTTTTCAGGGAGTAATTTATCGTTTGAACAGCGAAAGGAATTATTGGAATTAAATCAGGCTCATGAAATAAATGTATAAGCAGGCAACGGAGCAAGAGCAAGAACTATAAGGAGGTTGAATTAGCAAGATTTATGGAGTTACTAAAACAGCACAAAATCGAATATGAAAAACTTAAACTTGATCAAAAATTGGAATTAGATCGACAAGCTAAAGATTATCAATTACAAATAGAATGGTTAAAAATATAAATAAACCACCAATAACAATCTGTGTAAATTGTGTGTTTGTGTGTGTGTGTTTTATTGACATATCAGGTCACAAATTTGTATGACATGGGTATGACAAAAATATTACAAGGAAAAGGTGACTTCATTGCCGAAAGGCTTATAAATAATACAACAGTTTTTTTTTTTTGTTTTGTTTTTTTTCCAGAAAGTAAAACTGCACACAGTTTCCTGTGAGGGTTGAGGGGTGTTAAGGAACATACTTGGGGTTTAGCGTTAGCAAATACAGCTTTTATGGTCTTAAAATTAATGGAAACATATGAAATGTCCCCACAATTCACAAAAACAAATGTATGTATGTGTGTGTCTATGTGTGTGACCTTGGCTATGGCGTTTGTCCAATCTTGGTGTGCGTCCGAGGTCTCCACTCCGAACACCAGCACTCTTTGAGAGCGCAGGTACAACTCAAAGGTGAACACTGGCCTGAGGGAGGTGTGAAACAGTACAATTAACACACACACAATGACTGAAACACACACATGCTCACAGCTGTGCAACAGAAAGGATGGTGATTAATCTCTGTTAGTCTTTTGCTCTTACAATAAACAGCTGAACGCAGGAGATTAATCCAGGGGGAAAGGTCACTCTCTTAATGGCTTTAACAGCTCTGATTTGTGGCCCACATTTTTTGTGGATGGGATATTTTTGTTAAGGTAGCGAGAGATTTCCCCAACAGTCGCGCTAATCGGGTTAGAGGTTGCTCTACACGTCAGTTTGCTCTCATTTCTTTGTGTTTGTTAGTGAATAGAAACTTACATCTGAAACTCTTTCTGTAACCTCTAACCCACAGAAGGTGCTCAAGCGCAAACATTCATTAAAAAGGGGTTTGAGAGAAAAGACAGGAAGTAAACGCGTACCCCGTTTCGGTGATGGTCTGGTTGTTGTTGATAGCCAAGCTCACCACATCACCGATGTCAACCCGGCCAATGGGTGTGGCGATCTTCTCGTTGTCATAGTAACTAAGAAATCCTCCTTCCAATGTACACCAACGGCGAACCATATCTGAAACACACAAGCACATATACAGATTAAATGAGATTCAAGGGCATATTATCCAACATGCTTGGTGGCAATGCTGCTTTTGTTCATACGGAGGGTGATGTAACCCCTGAATTCGGGACATTTTTCATTACATTAAAAAAATTAACCCTAAAATTCATTCAACAAACTATGTATAATATACAGTGTCTATGTTACGACATTGGCCTAGAGTGTCAAGGAAGTAATATATAATGATACACAAGAAGCCCTTGGAGTTGGGTTTGTTTATGTTTCTTCTTTCCTTTTTAAACACCCAATATACCAAATAAAATGAAGCCATTACTCACAAAAAATAACTAACCACTCTAATTAAACTAAATAAACCTAACAAGGCTGAAATCCCAATGAAACATTATTTTTACTTACAACTTTGCAGCTATTTTAATGTCAAACAAAACTACTAGCTATCAATGTTGCTAGATTGGCGGTTTCTCACCCAGTTGGATGGTTTTGAATTTGATTGTGCAGGTAAAAAATGACATTGGGGCAATGACAAAATTTGGGCGGTTTTGAGCATTAATTTTAAACGCAACTTATTTAACAAATCATAACAAAACATAACAGTGCACTACTCCATTCAGTTAGTAGTAGCCAGTGCATCACGCAGCACCTGCAGTTAAACTCACATCAGTTTATTATGACACTTATATCATTTTTTTTTTCTGCAGTTGACAGCAAGATTATGTGCAGCAGCCCCTAATTATGTTCAAAAGAATTTTAACCGCTAAATGGGATGAATTAACACCGCAATTTGAAAGTAAAACATACTCTAACTTACTGTATAGTTAGTGTAATCTACACAAAATTAAGTGTAGATTTTGGGTGAGAGGGGGCAGTGTTTCTATGTGATCCTGTTATGTTGTAATTCTGTGACTGCTGGTGTTGGTTGCTGTATGGTTAAAATTATAACAGTTAAAGTAAATAGGTTAATTTCAATTTAAATCAATTAAAATTATATTATTTAATAATTTGGGCATTTTTTGTGCATTTGGGCAGATTTACACAGCTTTTGGGATGGAAAAAGTCAGCTATATCTGGCAACACTGCTCACTATCTAGACCTGCACAAACTAAATTAGAAAAGATAATGTTTTATGAGAGTCATATGACAAATATGTTGAATTGTTTTATAGCAAATTTATCAATGCCACTAAAGAAACATTAGAATCCAAGAAAGATTCTTGGTGTACAGATTTGCAATATGACCTGACAAATTTATAATCAAACCAGATATGTATTAAAGACCAGTATTTGTTACTGAAAACTAGATCAAAAATGATCCAATACAACTGGGCAACGCATACTTGCAACGCGCCACTCCTTAAAGACATGTTTAACCCAAACATCCCAGATATACATAAATGCCAAAAACATAAAAAAATAAATAAATAAATACATTCATTGTATGTGGAATGTGACGTGATTAAGAGTTTTTGGCAGAACGTAATAACATTTATCTACTTAATTATTTCTAAACCGATTCCAAGTGCTTTGGGTTTATTTCCTGTAAGTTTGCCATCACCAGGTTATCAAACTAAAATGAGCTCTGTTGGAAGAATATAGAAAGTCCATCCAATGACCACTGGCTCAAAGATTTGTTACATTTCAGTGCCCTTGGAAAAAAAATACTTACAGTATAAGGGGCAAATTAAAGAAGTACCATAAAACTTACAATCTGTTTAAACAGTATTTAGAATAAAACCATTCAATGGCACAAGCAAATACCTCTCACACTACTGGTTAATTAACTGATATGTGTACAGTACATGTGCAGTTTTGTATGTGGAATACAGTATATATCTTTATTTGTCTTAGCCCAGGTATAACAACTTATTTACCTGTTGAACTGAATTTCATGCTTTGGGGAGAGGGGGAGAGTTAAAATGTAAAAAAAAAAAAAATAACAATAAAAAAAGTGTAATTTCATGTGTTAGTTTGTTTGTTTTTGTACAAAAAAAGGTAAAAAAAATAAATAAATACACTTTCCTAACGCTCTAACTAAAAATAATAATAAAATAAGGGAACATATTTACAAGAAGAAAAGTGTAGCATCCCTACTGCTTCTCACTGTGTATATATACAATGTGTACAGGATTAACAACTCAACCGACCAACAAAATAGGTAACAAACAACAAAAACCACAGTAATGGGAACAAACGACCAGAATTATCACTTGCTACTAGGTTTCTTCAACACAACAACCCAAACGCTAGGTGTGAACCACCAAACATCACCAAATGCAATTTAACAGGTGTGATTTCCAAACGTAAGGTGACATTTAAAAGTTTTTAACAGAAAGTGGGGTCATAAATGAGCCTTTTCTAGTTCTCCTTTCTATTATAACAGTTTTTTTTTCCTAATCAACTGCTGGTTTGCACCAGTTAGGTTTTATTCCGGGTTGTTTTTCCAGTATAGATTTCATCCAGCCACTATGTCAACTGAGACAGCTGAAACAATACATCCCATCTCCATCTTCCTCTGACATGAAACCCAGCAGCTGTGTTACTTCAACTCAGCTGATGGAGTACAGCAAAACTCACAAATCAGGCTTCTTGCATCCTCTTCAGGAGAGAACAGTTCTCTTCTTAGCAAAAAAAAATAAAAAAAATAAAAAAATAATATTTATTTCCTGTTTTTTATATTCTGCATGATGTAAACAGATTTTGTATGCCCACTGAAATGCTAGTTAAATCTTTCAATTTGTTTAATTATAAACTCTAATCAATGACTTCCAGCATTTGCTGAATATACATTTTTGATGTTTTGGCAAACTTCTGACTTGACAAATGATGTAAGATGCATTTATAACTGAAACTCCTGTCAGAGTAAAGGAATGAGGATGAATGGCAGTAACTAATTGAAAGTAGAACATGAGAAGTTAAAAGGGTAAGTTTTATGATGAATTTATGTGCTTTTGGAAGCTTCAAATAATGGCATATACTGTATGTACGTCATTGTAAGGCCAAAGTTTAAAACTACTACTATAATTACCTCATGATTGACTCGTGCTCTAGCCATGAACGGTGTATTTGACTTTCTTCTTTCAAAACAAACACAGTCAGACTGTGTTTGTTTGAGAGTCAAATACACAGTCAGACTGTGTTTGTTTGAGAGTCAAATACACAGTCAGACTGTGTTTGTTTGAAAGAAGAAAGTTAAATACACCGTTCATGGCTTGAGCGCAAGTCAGTCATGTGGTAATTTTCATTTTTTGGTGAACTTTACCTTTCAGTTTTAAAATGCATGCAATATGGTTTGTACACATTTGACCCAAAACAACCCATCTTGGTTTACTTTTGACAATAAAAATATATATTGTGAATTGTGTACTGTTGTCTAATTTAAATAATATATCTAAAAGTGTGGCTTTATTAAGTGATTTGATTTAAAAAGAAAAATGTAATACAGTAGCACTACTTTTTGTATTATTAATGCATGTAATCTAAATATACAAAATTGTGTGCGTGTGTGATGGTCCACAAAACAGAAATAAAAACCTACTTCTACATGCTGATTGTACATTTACCTGCTTAAAAAAAAAATAATAATAAATAAAAGAATAAATAAAAAACTTCCATTTGAGTTTGCATGAAGGCAGAACATTTCTCCAAGCAGATTTGTTTCAGGAGATTTTACAAACCTAATCACAGCAATTGCGTTTAAATGTATGAGTATTTCACAAATAATTATTAAATCTCTAGGTATTCTATGATTCATACCAATATAATAGATCAACAAAACAGATAATTTAACCCGTATGTACTGTTGGGGATGTTTTCATCCACTCTGGGATGAAAAAAAAAACACAAACACACACAAAATGTTATATTTTCAGTATGAAAAGTAATTGTGGACTGGATTTTTTCCCATTAATCAAAGTCTTGGACATGTAAAACAGCACTGCCTTCATTTTTAATTGATTGTCTTTTTTTTCTCCCAAATTTACTGTTGATGGCTGTTTTTGCCCCATTGACTTCCATTATATTCACTTTTTTTTGTTTTATACAAAACCATGAAACCATATAATCATGCAATTTTGACTGTTGGTGTTTTTCCATGTTGGCAAGAGGGACAACTTGTAATTTTTACTTGTAATCATCAGTTGGCACCATTAACGCTTTAGAAAGGTCTGTGCATAAACAGCTGTTTCTGGATTTTATATAGAGTATAACAGCAAATTGAAGTGTTTGTATGTGTGTCTGAGACTGAGAGTGACCTGTGCATACTTACCTTGATGTGTCTGAAAATCCAAATATGCATCTCAGCTCTACAACTACATGGAGTAAACAAAAACAAAGACTGTGTATTCATGCACCATCAAATGTGCTTATAGTGGAAGTCACTGGGGCAAAAACAGCCACCAACAGTAAATTAGGGTGAAAAAAATCTAACAATGCATCAAAGTCAATGTTGTTACTAATTGTTTACATTAAAAATACGTCATTTTGTGTGTTTTATTCAACAAATCAGTAACATCATTTATGAATTTGACAATTAAAGAGTTAAAATCCTGTAATATTATAAATAATTTAGTAGTTTGGATCAGAACTGAGGTTGATTAGCAGATTTCGTTAAAAAAGATATATTTATCTGATGCATTTTCACAGCAGTTTAATTCAGTGAATGTTTTCATCCTTAACATAACAAAAGGCTAGTAAATGTGAACAGTGCACAAGGGTTAAGTTTTAAAAAATAAAATAAAAAAAAAACACAATAAAGCATATTGGTTAACTTTTTGGACCGCTAAAATGTTCCAAATTTTCAATTTGAGAAGGTGATGTTACCATCAAAGCAGAGTTCATCTGTACTGTACATCCAGCATCTGCCTCATATCCATTATTAAATGATTTTATTTGAGCTTTATTCAGCATTGAGCAAAACTTTGCTCAAGTAAATCTGAAGAGACCATTTTAATAAAAACCAAACCCACAAGAAACAGTTTCATCCCAAAGCACACTCTT